AAGGCTCAGTTGGATTCAAGTATGTTCAAGAAATTGAAGAAGGGGAAGGAGCGTGTGTGAGCCATCCAGACTGCCCTGCTTTGGAACTGGAACAGGGCGTCTGGGGAGAGAAGAGCCCTGGTTCATGTGATTTCTTGTGTGCTTTAGATGTGGTGGAGAGAAGAATGAGAAGGTTGGTTTTTTTTGTGCGAGGAGTCTGTCTCAGTAACAGCTTTCCCTGCAGCTTGCTCATGTTTTTCCTCCAGGTCCTTCATGAAACCAGATAATGCAGTAGCACAGCAGCAGCTTGGAAACACAGCCACCAGTGGAAAGTTCCCCCCCTGACCTGGGGCTTGAGGGGCAGTGAAAGTTCAGAAGCATTTGTTCTCTTCAAAACCTGAGTCAGTCTCTCCCATCAGTGCAGCCGCATCCCAGGGCCTGGCCATGGCACTGGTGCATGGTCATGGTTCTCCTGTCTCGGTTCTGGCGAGGCAGGAACGTGTTTGTTTGACAGGAGGGGATCCATGAAGATTTCTTTTCCTCTCCTCTGGGCTTTCCCAGTATTTGGGGTACTCTGGGCTTTTGTCACAGAGCTGAAAATCTGGAATTCCGCTTTACCCACAGGAGCACACGTGGATGGGGGGGATGCTCAGCAGGCAGTTGCAGATGAATTGAGTTCTCTGAGCCTTGAGAACTCAGACCTGGAGTCCCCCACGCTGCACGTGGATGCACATCCTGTGAGCATGCACGAGTGTTTTGAAGACAAGGGCTTGAGCAGAGTGCTCAGGGTGATGGAGATGTCTGCTGCCCACTCCCAAGTTAGAGCACAGGTAGAGGCTGTCAGGGAGCAGCTCCTATCACTGGGCACACTGGGGATGGGGAGCTGCTCTGGGCTGTGCTGGAGAGCCTGCCGCTGGGACAAGAAATCACTGTGTGCGACAAAGAGTAGTTCTCACTGAACCCACTTCAGAGCTCTTCCTGTGGCCCTGAGCTGGGGGCAGCAACACGTTGGGTTTGGCTCAGCTGCTCTTCCCATCGGTTTTAAGTGCTATGACCTGTTTTTATCTGACACGTTTCTCATTAACTCTTTGTCAAAGCACCAGGAAGCCTGCTTAATTGCAGGCAGAGTGCTGAATTTATGAGTTCATCTAGGCTTCATGTCTACACATTGACAGAGGTGTTTCTCTGGATGAAGTCTTTTTCTCTTCATTTTGCGGCAAGAATGGACTTTCTGTTTCAGTTCCTTCTGAAAGTCATAAATTGCAGCGGTCCCTCCCTTCCCTTTATTTAAAAGAAACACAACAAAACTTCATGGCAACAGTTTATTGCTCTAAATCAGCTTGTGGGTCATTAAAGCAAAAAATGGGGAGGGGGAAGGGAAAAATCTCCCTCTAACTCCTGCCAAATAAAATGCGAACATCAGCCAAACTGTCAGAGGCAGATCCTGCAACTATGGGATGAGAAGGTTTATTACACTTTCGGCTTCTGGGGAGGGATGTTATAGCAACAGGACACTGGGTCACTGATGGCAAACTCATGGTTGCTCCGTTTCTTCATGCACACTAGGAATCCATTAAGCTAACTGACGACAGATCCCTCGGCATTCCAGTCCTACGGCACACCTCTGCGGAGGCCAAATGTTGGACGCTGCCCATTAAAACGTGAAAGAAACAACCCAACAGAGAGCCCACAAATTAGAGGAGCAGGAAACCTCAAATGATGTGCAAAAAAAATTGTAAACGGGCAGGAGAATTTTTCCATAACTTTTGCTTCATAACTCAGCATTTCTGATGTTAATAAATCATGAAACAGAGCCTTTGCGAGATCAATGAGCCTTTTGGATCCCGAGCCTGCCTGCTGCTGAGCAGACAGCAGATGAAGCTGCAAAGTGAGTCCTGGAACATGACAGCGATTTCCTTTTGGCTGGGTAGAGATGAGTCTGAGCCGCAGCCACAGGCAGCGTTCAGGGCTTTGGTCCAAGCCGTGTGTCTGCTGTGGCCAGTTCAAAGCCTGTAACCCGAAGGAGCTTGGAGGTGTGTTTGTTTTAACCAGGTAGGGTGAAGAGGAGGAGGATGCGGAGCTTGGAGTAGGGAAAAGATGGGGTTATGTGGAGAGAGAGCAGTGCCTCGGCAAGGCAAAGGCATGGCGCTGGTCCTGGCAGGGAAGAGGAGAGTATTTGGATGAACTGTTGGATTTGAAGGCAAAAGTGATGGGAGGTGCCTTGGGGTAATAAATACAAGTATATCCTGGAGTCACCATCTGCAGCAGAGGGGGAAAAAGGATGAACTTTGGGTTTTGGCCTATTCAATGGAAAAAAAAGCACAGAAATCCGTGCTTGGGCGGGTGGGATAAAATGGAAGGCTGATCAGAGGGAGAGGAGGTGAAGGAAGTGCTCCCACAATCATTAACTTTATGGGAATGCCCACAGGCTGCAATCCAGATGAAAGCTTGCTTTTCCAGCCCATCTGCAAGTGCACATGTCTGCCCAGACTAAATGGAATTTAACTTGGGGAAGGGAAGCAAAGCATGTCTTGCACCAAGCCATCGGTCATCTTCAGAGTACCAGTTATCAGTGGTGGTCATGTCTAAGCATTAAAAAGTGGCGCATTTGCATCCCAAAAGTGAGCCTTCAGAGAATCTCTTCTGCTGCTGACCATGACTTGTAAAGAGTTGGGTTGAAGAATTTCAGCAGAGGAAATGTCTGATTCCCTTCTGCTCTGAACTGAAAGAAGATGCGGTGAAAGGCTTTGGTGTGTTTCTCCAGAGTCTTTGAAGGTGGGAGAAGAGGGACTGACTGTTCCTGTGCGTGTGCAGGTCTGACGGAGGCCGCAGTGTGTACCGCAGGCGGTAGTTCATGATTACTACTGGCTTTCTCAGGGTTTTCTGAGTTGTGACAGAACTTTCATACAGAGCATCAGAAAAGAGCGTGAGGGTGTGAACTCGGTGCGTAGCTGGAGGTGTCAGCACAGGGAGCTGGGCGCGCTCAGCACTGGTCCTGCGGCACATCGGATGCTCAGCATTACGCAGACCTTACCTTACCATGTCCAGTTTGACACTGTGTTAGACAAATACTGAAGCATCCCAGTGAGTTAATGTTTGAGGTGTTTGCCAGCCATGGAGTTACCACCTGTGTGCCTGTGTTCAGCTGCAGGGGAAAGACACATGCTGTGTGTTTGCAAATCCTGATATTTAAATGGAGTAATAGTCCTTTAAAGGCAGGATTTGTAAGACACAGTCTGTGTTCTTGTAGGTAATGCCTTGCTTTTGGTTTTGTACAAGTGAGAAACTGCAGGTATCCAACGAATTTCTTCCTGGGGGAACAGTTGGACTTGATGATCTTAAAGGTCTTTTCCAACCTAGTTGCTTCTATGATTCTATGAATACCTGACTGCCAGGAACTGAACAGCTAGTAGATTAACCTGTACTTACCTTTGTTTTCTCCTGGATCGTTGGCACACAGGAAAGATGCTATTATTAATCAGGCAGATAATGTTTCTTGGAAATTAGAAAGCTAGATAAACCTACACTTAGAAGGGTTTACAACAAGCAAAAGCTGTTCTGACCAGCTTTGCTAATCATCTGTCCACATCATTCCATCCTGATGTGGTTGATCTTTGCTCATTCCTGATGAATGTTTCCTGCTCAGAACTAGTGAGTGAGTGAAGCTGCCACACAGGGATACAGTGGAGGTCAGAGGATGGTCTTTGGTGTGTGTAAAAGGCAGCACACCTCAAATGCAGAGCTGGGGATGAGTTCCTGCTTCTGGTGCAGCAGAATCCCAAGTCTCTGCTCTCTAGTGCGGGAGGGATGGGAATGCAAAGGAAGGGATGGCACTCAAGGGACACACAAGGCCGAGAACTTGATCCCATTTGTCTTGACTCCCTCTTTAGCAGCTTAATTACAGTTTTCAGCCCATTGCAACTGCAAAGGGAAAATGTGTTAGCAAAAATCCTAGGAAATTCCCTAGTTAAAAATAATGCCTTTTACTAATGCATGGAATGGGGTAGGAGAACTCTCATCATTGCTTCACTGTGTCCAGCTGGAAAGTGATAACTTGCTGCTGTTTAACAGCTGTGTTGCTGGTGATGCTCTGTCCGCTCTCTTCTCCTTCCATAACATTTATTAAGTTTTCCAGCTGTTCCAGTTTCCTTATTGATCAGGAGCAGTGACACGTGATGCTCCACTCAGGGATGCTGCTGGGCCTTGGTTCCTGATGCCTTGTTCTATTTACGGGTGTCTGTGTGAAAAACAGGGGTTTAGGTTCTCAGGGTTTCATACCACCTCTTTCTTTCTCATTGTGACCTGTCAGGTTTCACACCCCTGCTCGGGTTTTACAGCTCCACGCAGATAAAACCACAGATTTTCAGGTGATTTGTAGCTAGGACGGGACCTCCTTCTCAAGTGGGGAGCCTGGTGCAGGGCCCTGCAAAGCTCTGGGTGAAACGGAGCTGAATTCTGGCTTTGCCCTGAGCTCTCTCAGTGTCTTCAACCAAACCATTGTAGACTGTGACAGCGGGTGTCTGTAAGATACGGCTGTGAAATGAAATGGACTGTTTGTGTAGTTTGCTGTCTTGTAGTCCCAGGGTGGCTTAGTTTTACTGATTGCTGCTGTTTAAATCACTGGTACTGGGAGGTCACCGGGCTGCTGCTTATTCAGACCATTAAAACTAGATGCTATTTGCCCAAACTGCTTGGCTTGAACAAGTTACACACTTTGATGACCTGAGCTGCTGTGGGCACTAGACAGGAGTGTTTGTGTCTGGAACAACTGTAACCCTGAGCCTGTTACTCATGGACAATTCTGGTGTATTCCCTTGGAGGTTCTGCTAACAGGAGCTTCAGATTATGACTAAAGAGCTGATTTGAGCCTGGTCATGTGTTTCTATTGATGCTGTATCGTCCAGCTTTCTCCTTTCCATTTCCTGTTTGGAAACCTACACTGCAAATAACTCTCCTTTCATTCTGTCTGTAGCTGTCACTTGCCGTCAGATGCCCCATGTGTTTCTTCTGTTCCCCTGCAGATTGCCGATGAGCTGGGCAATGAGAAGTTCTGTGTTGATGCTAGCCCAAGTGGAGCTGGGAACTGGCTGAAGTACATCCGCGGGGCCTGCTCCTGTGAGGAGCAGAATCTGGCCGTGTGTCACCTCAACGACCAGGTATGATGATTGAGCCATGATTGTGCTGGAATCTCCTGTTCGTCCCAGGTTGTCTCCCACACCACTGCTGCACAAAACCATGTCTCACCGCCTTCTCTCCTGGTGTTAGTTGGTGGTTCCTTCTCGTATTGAAATTGAGAGTAATTCTTCTGGGTTGTGAAGCTTCAAAGGATAAAGGTGGCTGTGAGGGTATTTGATTGCCATGAAAACTAAGAGAGTAAGATGCAAATATAGATAGAAATATGTCAAACAGTCCATAAGCATGGGTGTCTGAGAGCTGATGTGTGCTTTCAGCAGACTCGGTGGATTCACAAGTAGCCAGGGTGCCTTTTGGATAGAGCCCCTTGTATCCAAACTCATAGACACTCCAAATAAAGCGTCTAGATTGCAAACCTGAGTTCTTCATCCTGGTTCTGAGAAACACTGGGCACTGAACAGTGAAGGGAAAGCGGTGATGTGTTCAGAGCCACTGTCGTTAGACCTGCTTGGAGGGTACGAAATGTTTTACTCTTCCTTACTTTTTATTTAGCTGGTAACAGTCAAGCTCCATGCTAATAGGACGGGACTGGGGGTGTTACAGATCATCTTCCTGCAGGTACCTCTGGCTGTGAGCGGTTTGTTCTTCACCGCAGCCCAGGGCAGTCTCTCACAGATGTGCGTGTTCTGGCCAGGGCTGGTCTGTGCTTTAGAAATGAATCCCCTCGTTTCCCCTGTGGGATGTATTTAGAAAACGGAGTTTGTGTCGACTTCAGACTCTCTTGTGTGCAAAGCCCCGGGTACGGTTTGTGCAAGGGGAGGTTCTGCAGGGCGCTGCTGTGCTGAGCATCCTGGAGACGCGCGAGGCAGCTCTCAGGAGGTTTTAGCTTGATTTCGTTTCACGTTGCTTTCAAGGGTACATTTTTCCTTTCCAAAACGGACTCAAAACCCAGGGGGAGGCTTTACCTGTCCTGCTGAGTGGGCATGCAGGGATTTGGGGTTGTTTGTAAGTATCTAAAGCACAGCTTCTGCAGTGAAAGATTACCCACAAAATAAGGAATCAGCGTTAAGGGAAGAGCCAGGAGAAGCTTTTAATCAAAACCATTTGCTTCTCAGGAAAAAAAATAACATTTTTACATGGGGAGATGGCCCTTCGTGCCTCCCCAGACCACATTCTGTTCTCCTTTACACTCCTGTAACTTGGGAACATTCCTAGGAATGGCCAGGGAATTTCCCGGGATTTTTAGTAAAGTTGCTGACAGCAGAATCTGGACCTCTGATTGGTTTTGATTTTTTTGTTCCAATTTACAGGTTAAACCACATTTAGAGAGTGATGAGCTGAGACATTTCAGTGACTGCTTCTCAGTTGTGAAAGCAGTTTTCAGATGTTAACTAACAGGAGCCACTGTTCTTTGTATCTGTTCTTACTCGATAGGTATTTGAAAAGAGTAAAAGATCCCTGATTGACTGAGATACTTGTGTTTCTGAAGGGGGACTGGGAAGGACTGCTAGGAGCATGCTGAGGTTCACTAACTGCAGCTGGAAGGTGATTCATGACTTTGGTTTTATTTTCTTGTGTTGCTGCTACTGCTGCCTTCACGGGGCAGCTGCTGCAGCCGTTCGGTTGTTCTTACTCAGGAGGCTGTAATAGCAAACAGGGTCTGTGTAATAAGTGCAGTACCATTGAGGTTCAGGAGGATGCTGCTGCTTTTGTGTGTTATATAGTGGAAAAAAGAAGGGTTAGCAGGGGCTGCAGTGATGGGAAAATTGGGCTGATGTTTAATAAGCCAAGCTTGTATCTGTGTGTGTAATGAAGATAGTTTATAAGTATTTTATGCTTATAAATACATAAATATTGGCTGCCTGCTCAGGATTGCTATGTATGCAATACAATGCCTTAAGAAGAGGAAATCAAAAGCAGTGTGGCTTAGTTGAAACAAAGGGAACACGATTCCAAAGGAGGGAAAAAGCAGTTGAACAAAAGCAGAATGTGCAGCCCCATCCCAGGGCCACGCGAGGCCAAACTTGTCCCTGTCGTGTCCTCTGCAGCAGCAATGAGCACAGATCTCTGTGTGTCAGTGCCGGGGTGCTGCTGGAGTTCACTGTTTGCAGGATGAGAATGTAAAGCAACTGCTCTTAAGCTCATTGGGGTTGTTCATCCGTCCTTCCCTCCCGCTGCACTTGGTGGGGCTGTGTTTTGATCTCAGGACAGGCTGCAGTTGTTTGCTCCAGTCTCTAATGCTCTTTATTCCCGCAAGTACAAACGTGGTGCCGCGGGGAAGCAGATAAATGGGAGACGTAACTCAGGCGGCAGGTAAACAGAGCTGGTTCTGATGAAGGATACCTAAATAATGAGGTAATGCCGGGCTCTCACCCCACGTGTTTCATCTCCATCTCTTGCCCTGACCCTGCAGACACCCCACAGCCCCCAGCTTCTGCTCAGGGATGTGCAGCTTCGGTTCGGCTGCGAGAGCAGCCTCGCCGTGGGGCCGTGAGCTGCGGCTCTGCGCTAGCCCTGCTGCTGTAATCGCACCCGCTGCCTGCTGAGCGCTGCAAACTGTTGCAGCCACAGCCAGGTTGCTGCTGCACCGGTTTGCATCCACAGGCACAGCACAAATCCCGGTATCGAGCCCCGATGGGAAGAGGATTCCTCTGGGTATTTTTACTTTCCATTTTCCCTTCTTTCTTAGCACCCTGTGCCCAGAATAACTTGATAAAAACCAAGCAGTGTGCTATTTCCAGTCGCTTGGGAGGGCACTGCCCAAACCCCACTTGGGTTTCTAACTCTTTTGTGTTAAATAAACACAACTAATATTAGGAAAGGTGCCCCTTTTGTTGTGACAAATAAGACGTGATAATGCGTGGTGTTTCCATATGAGCGTTGGTGATTTATGCATGTAAATGTTCGGATGGAGTAGGAAATGCGATGGGGTTTGGTGCACAACAAATAACAAAAGGCAAAGGAAACGCGGCAGCACTTGTAATGAGTCAGACCATCGGTAGCGTGATGGCAAGATGAAGTTAATTATTATAATGAAATGTTTGATGAAATTAATGTGACTCCAGCAGAACCCAACTTTTCCCTAATGATTAACGAGGCTTGCTCCGTGTTTCTGGAAGGGCTGTAACAGACACGGGCTCCTGCACAAGGAGGTACTTTGTTCTGGGAGGCGGAGGGGCTCGCCGTGGCTCAGGCTTACAATCCTGGGGGATTTTTTTCCAGTGTGGAAGTTGCGAATGGATCGAGGAGCTGGGTGAACCTCTCAGACCGTGCCTGGGCTCTGCTGGCCTGGCTGGGGGTCACCACCTGAACGAGAAGTGTCTGTTAGTGCCTATTGGGAGCTCTTTTTCCTCCTTGCTAGCTGCAAGCGGTGGCACAGGGCGAGTTGTTTTTCCGAGTCAAGCCCTAAACTCTGTGCTCATTCCTAGTCTGTCTTTCGGTTTTGGTTTTGGTTTGCCGTTAAACTCGGTGTGATTTGGTCCTGGGAAAAGCTTTTCTTGTTGAATGAGCGGGCAGGAAGGAGAGTTGAAGTGCGAATGAAAAGAATAAAGGGAAGAGGGAGAGGTTTGTACCACTTGGGTAGTTCGCAGCGAACTGATGGATCCGATCTGCGTCTCACAGAGAAAGGGTGGTCTCAGAGCTATGTTCACCTCCTCACATCTGTGCTTGAGCATGGATCTGTCAGTTCTGTATGGGACTGCTCAGCTGAGCATCTCAATGTGCTGCCCAGTGAGAAATCCTGTGCTTGGCTCCTTCAGCTGCCCAAGCCTGCATTCCCTGCTTGTACATCTCCTAGATGGCATGCGGGACGCGGGCGGGGGTCTGTTCAATGGGAGGATTGGTTACAGACCAGTACAAAACAGTGCTGACAGTTCTGCCCAGGGTTGTGCGAGGGCAGGGATGGGGTTGGGGGAGTTCAAGTCACAAGCAGTGATTTAATTTCTCATCTTAAGCGTTTGGCCTGTGCCGCGCTTCCAGACTGCATCAGGGGTTTCCTGGCCTCTCCTGGGGGTCGGTTTGTGCAGCAGAGCTCGTGTGTCAGCGGCCGTGCAGGTGAAGTGGCGGGGAGCGGAGAGCAGAACCGGGAGAGCCCGTGCGGAGCTCGCCTTCCCCACGGACCGTGCGGAAAAGTAGGGGCCGGGGGACCGGGGTTGGTGCCGACTGTCGCGATACCGGCCCCGTCGGCGGGCGGAGCCTGCCCCCTGCTGGGGCGGGCGGGGGCCGCGCCGGGCTCGGTGTGCGGGTCCCGGCTCCCGCCGCGGGCAGCGGTTCCCCGGGGCCGGCGGCGGCAGCGAGCGCGGCTGGGTCTGTACCGGGGCGGGGGGAGGAGGGAGCGCGGGGAGCGGCGGCCGTCACCGCCGCGTCGGGGCGGGCGGGAGCGCGGGGCCGCGGGAAGCGAGCGGGGCCGGGGGGCACCTGCTGCTGCCCGGACCGGGGCCGGGGGCAGGCGGGGGGGAGCGGGCATCGCGGCCGCACCGAGGGACGCAGCGTCCCTGTCCCCGGTAAAGGCGGACTGGAAGAGGCGGAGGGAGTCGGTGCCGGGCCAGCCGCGGCTGGTGTCCTGCAAGCGCGTTTCAGGCGTCGCTATTAAAACTTGGCCGTGGGTAACCAGCACCGGCAGTGCTGCTGCTAGGAGAGGACGGGGTCCAGCGCACGCCCAACATTAGGAAAACACACGGAATGCGCTGAGCCTCTTGGATTTCGCGTAGCTCTGAGCCTCCTCTTTGCCGCTCTCCCAAACTCCCATCCTGCGCCCGACTTCCTTCAGCTGCTGTTTGTTGCGGCGTTGGATGAAGGGGATTTCCTTCTCCTTGTAATACTTTTTAAGTGGTGCATCCTTGGAGTTTGAGAGGTCCTGCGGGTTCAGGAAGCCTGTGTGAGCCCAAGTGTCCTTTAAGCCCTGTCCTGCCCATCTTAAAGAGCCAGTGCATGGTTCCCATTCCTTGGTTTTACATCATGTAACAAGGCAGGTACAGCCAGGAGCAGTGTGGAGCTTGGTACCTTCCAGAAGGGCAGGATCTGTGGTCAGATGGAGCTCTTAATGGGGTAACTGCTCACCTGGAGTAGTTCAGGACTTGGCTTTAGGGCTCAGACTCTCAGGCTCTAAGTGAGAGTAACCTACAGCATAATTCTGTGGAGGTACACTAATTTAGGTCTGTAATCATCAGACAGAGAAGCATCAATTGCATCTGTTTAATCTTCCCTCTAACAAATACACGGAGCTTACAGGAAGTAGGGAAAACAATGGGAAGATGTTGTGTGATTTGAAGGAGGGAGGCTGTTACCCTAAATACAACGTTACTGTCCAAGCTGCACGAACCACTGACACACAGAGAGTGGGATAAAGGCAGGGGAAAAGAGCTCTGAGCAGCGGTTATCACAGAACTCAAGTGACAGCCCCCCCCCGATCAGCTGGGATGGTTTGAGTTATGGGTTAAAATGTGAAATGCAAGTCTTTGCACATGTAACGTGTCTCTCAATTTCTGTTTCTGATTCCCAGATCTATTATAAAGTTATTAAAGAAATTGAGCCAGGAGAAGAGCTTTTGGTGTATTTGAAGGAAGGTGGTTATTCCCTTGGGAACATGGCGCCCAGCATGGAAGGTAAGGCCTCCTTTTGCCAGACAGGACTTTCTGCACCTCTCACCAGCACACCTGAAATGTTGGGATCCTCCCTCAGTGCTGAACTGGGACAAAGCCCTGCTCCAGGACCTGCCCCTCCTGTCACTGTTAATGTGCTGTGCTCGGTTTCACTCTCAGCCAAAGATAGCCAGTTCTATCAACCTCGAGGCATGCAACAGATTAATTTGCTGCTTCTCTTTGTGGAACACTGTGATTTGGAATATGACTGGAGGTGCCTTTTGAATCCCCAGTGTCCCCATATTTCTTTGGGTGTAATGAAAATGGTTCAGACCATCCCAAGGCTTGCAGAATGCTGGTCTCTAGTGCTTCAGATTATGTGGAAAAGGGAGATCTGGGCAGAGGATGGAAGAGTCATTGCTAGAGAACTATTATTGCTAGAATACAAACACCTCTGAAGCCCTGGAAGTGAGTGCTTTTCTCAACAATGTAGAAGGAACAGGACTTCTCTCAAATGAAGAGATAATGAGGGTGTATGACTTGTCTTCCATTCATTCCTCGACTGCAGAGCCTGTTGCAGGCTTCACATTATTATTTATGACTAATTTCTATCCACACGTTCTCTACCAGCTGTTTTTAAACCATGAGTTGGAAACACTGTTCTACGGAATGAATCACTGCAATTTCACTCGTCTCACCTGGGCATCCTGCAGTACATCTGTGTTCCTTCACCTCTGTCTCAGTGTAATTTTCAGATTCACATTTGTGGTGGAACTCTTTAAGGGTGTAAGCTATTAGCTGCAATATTCCTGCAGAGGTGGGTGGTTTGAGGCTTGGTGCTGCTGAAAGCTCTGTTGCTGAAGGTCCAGGGCTGAAGTGATGTCAAGTTTGGGATGCTTTTTTTAGCCTTCTTCCCCCCGAAGTTAATCATTTTCTTGAGACCAACACACAGAGATGAGTAATTTCTGTTTCCAGTGAGGGAGTAACAGGGACCTTTGCTTTGATACCAGGGAGAAGCCAGCAGGAAAACCCACCACTGGTTTGCATTTCAGTTTCTAATAAGCTTTTATTTGAAAGAGCAGAAAGTGCTCCTTGTTTTCCACCTTTGTTCCTGTGTAACATCTATCTGTGTCTTCCTGGCAGTGCCTAGTGCTTTTGCTGCATAATTGCTTTCCAATCTAATAGGCCAACATTAAATATTTGACTTCTTACCACTTTCTGCTTTGAGCCTGTGCTATCTCCCCGCTGCCTCCCTCGCACCCCCATCTCCAGCCTGAATTAACACGAAAGAAAATGCAAAATTGCTCAGCACAAAGATAATTATCATAAAAATCTTTTCTCCAAACCCCAGCCAAACACAGCAGACCCCTTATCACTGCAGGAATTTTGAGTAGGGCACTTGAACTCCTTTGAGATTCAAGTCTGGTAGATTAGCATGTAGATGCCACATAATTGTGTTCCCCTTGGTTTCTCTGAAAGCTATTAGGCACTGATTTATTTTTCTGCTACATTCCTGCTTTGTCCTGAGTGTTACTGATGGAACTCCAGATAGGCACATAGAACCAGGGATTTGACAAACAAGACGTGGGGAGCAGGCAGCAATTTTTGTGTAACTGGATTTTCCCTTTCTTTGCGTCCCCATCCCCCTGTAAGGTACTGAAGGGCACTGTTGTCATTTGCGGTGCTTAAGGAAAGAAGGAAACTTCAGTGAGAACTTGTTTTGAAGGGCAGTATTTTTATTTTTGGTGCTTAAAGAAGGAAAACACCCCTCAGTAAACCTGAACGCTACAAATTGTGTCTGATGCAGGGACACACGGTCCATTCCAGGACTCCATAGCTCAGTCCTGGGCCTCCTTCCTTCCTTAGGTTTTGTTTTTGCAGGGTGATGGTCTGGCCCTTAGTGTGCAGGTCAGTTCCGTTCCCTGCAGCACTATTTATTGAGGTCTGATCTCCACTATTCTGAGGTTCAGAAGTGGGAATGCCAGGGGAATGGGTGTTGGACATCGATGTGATACAATCAGCCACTCTCCCAGCCAGTCTGTTCTTCCTCTGCTTAACCTGAGCACCAGAATAGCGTTTGCAACATGAGTGACACGTGGCTACAAGGCTTTTAACGGTATTTTTTGTCTGTTTTCTAATTCTTCTCAGTAAAAATGTCTTTTTCCAAGCCCAAACATTCTGAAACACATAAATTTCTTTCCCCATCATCCGTCTTCTCCATCTATGAAGAAGCTGTTGTTTTGGGGGATGGAAGAGGAAAGTTGTTGCTCAAGCACAAGCCTGCACAGAATACACAGGGTTTCTCAGTTTAGTGACATGCAAGAGCTGTAAAATCTGTGTAGCTCTGCAAGCAGGCAAGTGCAGAAGCACTGTGACAGTTATTACTGAGGCTGTCAGTGTATTTGTCAACTCTGTAATCTGATAGAAAGGACAAAAATACATTATTCTCGTTGATAACAAGAGGTTGTATGCTCTGGGAGGGGATCCTTGTGAGTCCACCTGCAGCCAGGTGTGCAGTAAATTATGCTCAGTGGCTGCTTTTCCAAACTCAAAGTGGATTTGTGGTCCAAGTTTGGGCCAAGGAAGATCCAATTAATCCTGTAGATCTCAGACTGCAGTAGGAAGTGTTGAGTGCAGATCTGCAGGAGGTATCCGGATGTGTTTTCTGGGGAGTCAAAACAAAAAGAAGGAAAAAAAGCCCTGTTTCCTCCATTCCAAGTTTTCAGGTCTGGGGAATTGCCAGCTGGAGCTGGAGCCATGCTGGGAGTTTCATAGGAGCTGCTCAGGAAGCAGTTCCCAGGCTGGGGGGCTTTTGATTGCCTCTGCAGAGAAGCTGCTTGTGTCGAGGCATCGCTGTGTTGGGAAGGAGCAGAGGGGAAACAGTCGGTTTGTGGGTGAATTCTGAGGCAGGCAGACCCCGCGCCAGGGCAGCTCCACATAGGCTGGAGTCAGTGAGGGATTTATCCTGTTCCCCCACAGTCCAGTGGCTGCATGAGTCAGATGAACTTCTGTCCCACGTACCAGAAGTGAGGTCATGGCTGTTGGTGCCAGTGACACTGTGAGGGCAGCCTGACGTCTGAGGCTCTGAAACCCCAGCGCTGTAGCAGAGAATCACTTGTTCTGTAGCTGATGTGCTTCACAAATGATGAGGAGTGATGCAGGAGGAGATCGCTGCCTCAGCCCATGCAGTGCATGTGCTCCAACACTTGATGCTGTCAGGCTTCTCTCTTCTTACCCTAAATGTGGATGTATGGAGAGAAAAGAGGTGCCTAAACACACCGAAACCCAGCCCTCACCCCTCCCGTGCTGCTCTCACACTGGGAATGGTTTGGTTCATAAACACATGCAGATGAAATGTTACATTCTGCCAGGTAACTCTGCATGCTTCGTGCTGCTGTTACAAGTCAAATGCGGTAACAAGACATACCATGAAACTACACATGCTTTTTCTTCTTTTTCCTCATTAAAAAGTAGTTTGGATTATTTTAATGATAGGTTATACAGTCTCTTGATGCTGCTGGGTAGTTCTCTACATCTTGATTTCCAGGTTTCCTGCCCCAGGGACATAAAACACATGAGATGCGTATTGGTGTACAATACAAAGTGCTAGTAAACAGTTTCCCTAAGGCGTAGAGCAGAGCCTGATCCACTTCATTGTGAGGCTGCTGATAGCAATTTCGGAGTATATGAGCTGTCAAAACAAGTTGAAATGGGTAAGATGGGGGTATTTTCTTCCCTTAGGTCTTGTTTTTTAGTCAAGATCCCACCCCTACAGAAATTGTGGACCTGGTGGATTTTATTCCTTTTACATCCCTCTCTTCCGCAGGTCAGGAAATCCCGAAGCACCTCTGCGTTGTATTCATTCTGTATGTGAATGGGGTGTAGTGGCAGCAGACACATGCTTGGATGAAGAGCCAGGCTCTGCTGCTTGGGTCGTGGTGCTCTTTCCTCCTTCAGCTGTGTGTGACTGCTCCCAGCTCGTGGGCATGTCGCTACTTCCCGTGTAGGTGTGGAGCACTTTGGGTTTCATCTGCCTACGTAGCTCTGCTGTGGCAGCTGAAGGGATCTGGTCTGAGTCACCGCAGCAGCGCGTTGTAGGCTCCCCAGCGTGCAGGGGCATGGGGTGAAAACCACAGGGTCTGAGCAGGCTGTGTCGAGAGAAGCAGCAAAGGGGAAGCAGTGCCCACGTGCAGGTGGGAAGCGTCTGTCTCCGGGTGATGCTGCCTTGTGCTCTGGCAGCCTTTTAACAGAATGAACCCTGATTTATATAAAACACAATTTCAGGCCTTACGGCACAGCATGAGTGGTTGTGATTGTGCAGAACTGGGCAAACCAAGGGTTTCCTGAAAGGTTGTCAGCTTTGAAAACGGCTTCAGGCAGAGATCAGCCCCATCACCCCCTTGCCCGCAGAGCAGCAGGGATGGATCAGACCCATCACAGTGCTGGCTTTTGGCTGCATCCCTGAGAATCTTCCCACTCTTCCCTTGAGCTCATGCATTTTACCACAAGCTTTTCTTTCGGAAGTCATCAGGAAAAGGAACGACACTTGGTACGAAGGAAGCAGAGCCCGGGGAGCAGAGGAAGAGGGTGAGGAGGGCAGGGCACCGCGGCAGGTCGCTGGGAAGCTGCTGTTCCAGGCTGGAGGAACCCGGAGTTATCCCCACTCCCTCGCAGAGATTGTTCTCCTGGAAAATTTACAGCTCCGAGCCGCTTGTTTGGCTTGGCACCGTGGTCAGGATGCTGCCTTGTAAACTTAATAATAGCTGCCCTCTTTTTAATTTGTTTGACCTTGACTGCAGTAATTTATTATGTGCATTACATCTTTCTCCTTTTTTTTTTTTTAAGACAAAAAAAGTCAGAACCAGCAAAGCATTAAAGCATTTGGCTGCCTTTGCTTTCCTCCACAGGGCTCTGGTTTGGATCTCCTTGGGTTCGATGGCTCACTGTGCTCTGCAGTTGTGCCGGCCGAGTCGGGGATAACACTAGAAAGACATTGTCTTAGAAAGGAGCTTCCCCAGGTCTGTGCTGGGGCAATTTGCTTCTCCAGTATCTGTCTACAGGAGCAGGGTTTGTTCCTTCTTTCCCCTGGTGGCCCCTCCTGAGGAAAAGCTTGCTCCTATTTCCCCAAAAACCTCATTGCAAACAAACACAGTACTCCAGAACTGCCCTTGGTTTTGGTGTATCTACTAGTGCTTGTAGGTCTCAATGTCTCAGCAGAGGCCAGGACACAAAGAACACGAGATCTCTCCTGGTTAAGGGATTGATGTTTTTCTCTCAATGCTCATTGTGCTGGCCCAGCCTGCCTGGCTTTCTCTCCCCTCTCACTTGCAGACCTCTCTGCTCGATAGAGCCTCACTTCTCTTCACAAGCTCGGTGTCGGGTGCAATAATGAGACTTGCCTGAACTTCCTGACGCTCAAGTCAAAAGCATTTGTGTGTGTGTTGCAGAAGAGCACTCGTTCCGCTGCGAGGACTGCGATGAACTGTTCCAGTCCAAGCTCGACCTGCGGCGCCACAAGAAGTACGCCTGCAGCGCTGTCAGCTCCCTCTACGAGAGCCTGAGTGACGAGATCAAGCAGGAGGGTCTTGGCGATGGACAGGTCTATGAGTGCAAAGACTGCGAGAGGATGTTCCCCAATAAATACAGGTACCACACAGCTGCCAGACCCTCCCCTCCCTCCCCGTCTCCGTGCCTCCTGTGCGGTCCATCTGGTGATGGGAGATGCAGGACAAGGCGGGAGCGGGGTGGCTCAGACCTTTCCGTTCTCCATAGGGTTAAGGAATGTTAGTGTTAGGATCCTTCAGTGTCATTCGCTATTGGACAGCACTTTATTTCCCCTTGGTTTCATCAACTGTGATGCTTTTCATTGCTCCTTGGCAAAAGTATCCGCAGATCATTGGCACTGTAAAGCTTCAAGGGTTGTTCTCTGAATTCCCATTGTCAGGGCTGTGACAGGTTGAGAGACCCCGTTAGCATCTGTGCAGCTCCCATGTGAGCTGGTTCTGAGGGGTAACACGTTCTGCCAATATTTGTGTGAGCACTTCTTTTATATCTAATTCTGGTCATTTGAGATCAGTGGGTATAAAGAGGTGTTATTACACTGAGAGCTCTTCACGTGGTGATGACTCCTCTGCAGAAGCAATTAAAAACCCCTATTCTGATCAATTTTTCGTTGTTTTTTTGATATGGAAAAGGTTCATGTAAAGATTTTATATTCCCCAAGTGTTCTTGTAATAGAAATGTGAAAAGAGAGAAGATGGGACGTTCCCCAGCTCATTTTATTTGCAGTAATTATTCAGTTATTATTCTAAGACAACTCTAAACAAGATGGAATTAATTTCTAAAAGGAAGAGTTCTTTTCCCCAATAAGCTTTAATTGAACTTGTGCCTCTTCCAAGCATAATGTGATAGCGATCACATACAGCTTTAAAGCAGGGATCTTTGAGATTTCTGATCCATTTCCAACCTGAGACTCAAATGGTTAAATATCAGGAGCCAGTTTGAAGAACTTGAGGGGGTTTTTAATCCTTTTAGGCTTGTGTTTATTTGCATTGTAAGGCTTTAACCCCTGAGCTGTGTTTTCAACGTAAGAACTCGAGTTTGCTCTGTTACCGGGGGCTGAAGTTCTCACTTACTTCAGTTGAGTTCTTAGATGAACAAACACCACACGCAGCAAGAGTTGTTATAATGTGAGAACTGGCAATCCTTATGTCATAAAAAGAGCTTTAAGCCAGTATAAGACCTGTTTCATTTCAGTTACAGATATAAAAAGGTGATGTTCACTGGCATCAGTCATTTTGAGCTTAATTACGTTGTTACTTTCAGATCTTTTATCTAGGTAAGCAAAGGGAAAAATCCTCTTTTAAAACCGTAGAGAAAGGTGAAACATAAAGAACATTCCAGTGGTTTATCTGTCCTGAACAGAGCTTGGCTCTTGGCTGGGTTGTGGGCACTGTAAAGGTAGTAACAGATACTGCCTGCCAGCGATACCTGTGCAGTGGGTCTGTTGGCACAGTTGGATGTCTTTATTCCTCACCTCATGTTTCTACCTTGGCCACTTTCAATCAGACACCAGGAGGCTGCAATTCCCTTCATTATTTTTACCTGATGAGAAAAGGAAACTGCCTTTAAATGTTTAAAATATTCATGATTTTAGTAGAAATTCTCATTCTTTGGCCTCTCTGACAGTGATAGAAACTTTCCCCTCTTCAGCTTCCAGCACTCTGGAGCTTTTATGTTCGTTTAGGAAAGACCATTTTGAAATGTGTCTCCTCTTTGTGCCGTCTGTGTGCTTCCTGGCTCCCCTTGGCTTGGAGTAGACCCAAAACTGGGTCCATTTTGCAGGGGTTAAGAGAAGCAGGAAAATTGGAAATCCCTTTTCTCCTGTAGTGATAACATACCCCTGTGAGTAAAGGCGTTCACAGTTGTCTGGTGAAGCTTCTTCCGGGTGTTCAAGTGATGAGGCTGAGCTCAGGCCCCCAGTGCCCTTGATTTTCTTGGCAAAGCCCTTTTCAAGCTATTGCCAGTTGCACTCAGGTGATCGGGGATGCTCCAGGTTCCTAACCACAGACCTGTACACTTGGAAAACCTTAGGAAATGTTTGGGTTGGGATTTTCTGAAGCAAGTAATAGAAGCTTCATATTGGTTTTGACAGGGGAAGGATAGAGTGAGCACCATCACCATCAGCCTGATGGATTTAGTGGAGCTGGGAGAGAGTGTGCGCATCTATCCCTCCCCATCAATCCGGCTGCGTTTTATGTACTCAGAAAGCCACTAAACCACTGCATATATCCAGTCTGTGTTCCTAGATGGCCTTATAATTTTTCAGAAGTTAATACAGATCAAATCAAGAGTGCCACTGGGGAACTGAAATTGAGCATTTAGCAGCTGACTAAATAAATAAATGTTTTGCTAATCCCAGTAGGTACTTGCCTCTAAACAGCATATTAGTTTGTCCATATTTGCTCTAAATAAACTCATAAATCACAGTTAGCAGGAGCGTATTTTTGTGTATGTATGTGAAAGGTATAGATTTCTTTGTATGGGTGAAAAAATCTGTAGCGTTAAGAACATAATTTCTTTAGCAAAATGAATATTGCTTCTTTAAAATGAGTAGATTGGCAGTTTAGAAGGGGCATGTTCATGAATATTAACTACCTCGTTTGGAGGAAGAGGAGGTCCTTCAAAGGAGTAGCAGGCTGGTGGCTGCTTAGATTTGTATGTAGAGCTGCAGTCCTACCAAGGCCACTTGTGATGGAGCCGGGTTCTGCATGGTTGCCCCTGAGTGCCAGAAAATGCCCTCAGGGCACAAAGATGGCCATGCAGTTGGTCTTTACACTGGGAATTTCAGAGGACCAATGTCGTGCCCATTCTGCTCCACCTCAGGCAGGTCCCACTGGGAATGCCAGTCCAAAGATGCTATCCAAAGACAGTCAGAACATGAGGACAGGACAAGGCTAATTCCTGGCTTTCCAAATCCCTCAGGCTCCATGGCTAACCTGCTGTGTGGTTGTCCTTCATTTAATGATGAGTGGCAGGATTTTTCAGTAGTGCTTAGTTTAATGTTCCTATAAAAAATACAGCCATGCTTTAAAGTTCCATAGGAATGGTTTCATATCAGTCTGTGGGGATTCCAGGCAGGAGCAGATTTCACAGCAGTTTGTCCTCCATCCGAACTCGCAGTAAGGACGAGCACTTGTAACTCCTGTTAAACTGTGGTAAAGGATGTGGATTCTCATGCTTGGTTTCTCAGATCTGGCCTGGGAGCTGTGGGATGGCTCAGTATGTTTTACATCACTTGGTCTGTTTTGGTCACTTGGTATGTTTTACATCACTTGGTCTTCAATGCAGCGGACCCCAGTGCTCTCTGGGTGCCCTGGTACCACCAGCAGGGTGTCACACTGGGTTTGGGGCTCAGTGAGTACCATGGGCCAAACTATGGGGATGGTACTTTGGAATTGGAGCACCCCTGTGTTCCTCTGCAGGGCCATCCCTGCCTCTGGTTTGCCATCATCCTCCAGGTTGAGGAGAAGCTGCCAGTTGGGAGAGGTTGAAATTGCCGAGTGAAGTAATCAAAGATGTCTGACATTTAGAAGTGAGATGTGTTTGCACCTTATCACGTTTCTCTCCAACGTTAAGTTGCTGTGTTCTGGGAAGCTGTGGGCTTTGTGCCCACCAGAACGGCAACGTGATAGTCTCAGCAGCAACAGCTAATATCTTGTCTTTCCCTGAGGGGATGCCATAGAAGCCTTGGTCACAAAGTGCTCATTTTTCCCTCCAGGAACCTGCAGGGTCAGGTCTGGTTTTACCTTCCTTTTCCCCCTTGTAAATGGACTCGGGTATTTAATAAGAAATACCATAAAACACAGCGACATTCTGAGGCAGAATAGAGCAGCTTCCATCTGTGAAATGAATGCCAAGAAAACAAAGGAGAGGCTATTTGTGTGTCACTGCCCCTCTCATGGTCCATGTGCTGCTCAACTCCTTTTCACAAAGGTTGGTTCTGCAATCCCCCCCATACCCCATGGGTCTGCAGTGGTTTCTCTATCATCACCTGTGTTGGGTTCAGATCTCCCTGATATGGGGCAGCAGGCCTGTAGCAGTGTCCACCATCCATGTGTGTCCAGTCTATGCCTGCCATTGAGGTCAGCCTGTCTCTTTGTTCCCCAGCCTGGAGCAGCACATGGTAATCCACACTGAGGAGAGGGAGTACAAGTGCGACCAGTGCCCCAAGGCTTTCAACTGGAAATCCAACCTGATTCGGCACCAAATGTCTCACGACAGTGGGAAACGGTTTGAATGTGAAAACTGTGTTAAGGTAAGGTGCAGAACGTGGTGATGGGGGCAGCTTTGCCTGGGCGAGGGCGCTGGGACCAGGGGAAAGGGGTCTGGAGGACAGGTGACACATTCGGGCATGGTTTGGTGGCCTGGCATGGTGGGGTGATGCAGGGTGAGTGGTGCGCCCAGCCAGCATCTCTGTTGGGATGTGGAGCTCAGCCTTGCCATGAGCAGCTCACCTCGGCCTTTTCCCAGGTATCAGAGTGTCTGCAGGGAAGGGGGTGAGCTCTGTGCAGGGCAGATGGTGAGCACAGCACAGGTCAGAGGGTGAATGGGCAGCTCGGCATGGCTCAGGTTCCTCACCATTTGCAGCGGGAGGTGAATTCCCTGCACACCTCATGCCAGGATCCGTGGTGACAAGCCCCAGAATGCAGCCAGGCAGTCACACAGGCGCTCCTCTCCCCACGCTTTGGTTCCCTCCTCTCACAGCCTTTCCTCTTGCAGGTATTCACCGACCCCAGCAACCTCCAGCGGCACATCCGCTCCCAGCACGTGGGTGCGCGGGCTCACGCCTGCCCGGACTGCGGCAAGACCTTCGCCACCTCGTCTGGCCTCAAACAGCACAAGCACATTCACAGCACTGTCAAACCTTTCATATGTAAGTTGTCACGGCCATCACAGAGCTCTGCCTTGGGCTGTAATTGCACGTATCCTGCGGGGCCCCCCAGTACTCGCTGTCCCTCTGTGAGCAGCCGCCGTAATTTTATAGGTCAGAGCACAAGATGAAATTCCGCAGTGATTTCCCCCCCCCTTCTCTTTTTTTCCCTGTTTTTTCAGTAAACATTGGTGGCAGTTTCTGACTTTTTGACAAGTTAAAAGCTGAGTCTCGCAGCGGTCCTGGTGATGCCGTTTTCTCCTATCTTTTTTTTTTCTCTCCTCCTTTTTTTTGGCCTTAATCATTCCTGAATGCTCGTGTCGGTGACATAAATAAAGAGCTGGTGCAGGCGGGTCGAAATGTTGTTCAGGGGTGCCTCAAAGGATTTGGAATAGTCACAGGGACAGCGAGGTGTTCTTTAAAAAGAGGGGGTTTTTCTTTTCTTATTTACTGCATCTTTCATCTGGATAATGCTTGAAAGCCAAATAAATAGCAGATTAACGGCGTCCTTAGTGCTCTCTTTCATGGGTTGTTTCCAATAGGGCATTTTCCCTCGGGAGCCATCCGTCTCCTTCCCTGTCATTCTCAGGCTAGTGTATTTTTTTAATTGACACAGCACCTATTGGATTTTGATAACTGTGCAGAAAGGTGGGCCGTGTCACAACAAAGCCAGAGAAACTTTAGGGACCACTTCCTGACACTTCAAGCGCTGAACGGGATCTGGGTTTGATTCCAGGCTTTGATGTTTCGGTAGGGAAGCCACTGAACCCACTTCTGCCTTTTTTCCCCATTGGTATAATGGGAACAGTATGCAAGGGTATCCTGGGAGAGTCGTTTCATTAATGTGCTCTGAGATAATCAGATGGGTGTCAGTGGAGGAAGAAAAAATACTCTTATTGCTCATTTTGATGCAATCTTTCACTTGCTGACGGGCACATGAAAGAGATAATTTGAATCTCATAGCATTGCTGCTGCGAGATGAATGATTTCTTCTCATAATCTCCTCACTCTCACCTCATAAGAATTAGGGAGTTGTCAGTCTAAATCAGTGTGTAAAACAACCGGAGACTGATTCTGCCTCGTTCAGATGTGCCAGGTGGAGTCACATGCGTGAGTATGGAATCCATTAGCAGCTTCAGGATTCACTGGGAAGTTGTTCCTTCCCATTCAGTGGATGAAAAGGGTTGTGGTTTTTTTTTTGGGGGGGGATGGTTTGGGTTTTAATGATACTAGATTTAGCTTTAAAAAGAACCCCAAACCTGTAAATTTATAGCTGCAGAACACAGGACAGCAAGAGAGGACATTACTAAATCATTGTGGAACTGGAGACTTAACACAATGTTCCAGTTTTCCCTGTTTTACAGTGATGATATGAGCTCTTGCAGCTATAGCACTTTTCGTCAGGGAATTCTGTGCAGTGTTGGATGTATTTAGCAACTCTTCCTGGGGTGGAAAATGGAAGAGAGGAACCCGATTCCCTTGGAAGACTTCGCGTTTGTTACCCTTGGTCTTCTTACTAAGTTTTGCCATGTGGGAGCAGTGTAGCTTCTATTTGGTAGTATTGCAAATACACTAAAAATAACACAAACACCACAAACACAGTGCTGAGCCAGTGCAAACTGTTACAAGTGCTCACAGTTGTGATACAGTCTGCTTGAACAGATCAGTCACTTACTATCTGTGGCTGCGTGTATCTTCTAAACCACCGTGTAGCTTCCCTTGGCACATGGCAAGGGAGGTGGTTAAACTTGGAAGCAAATATGCAAACATCTTTAAAAGAAATCCTAAATGTGAATCCTAAAGATGTAGGGAAAAAAAATATAGGGAAAGTCGTGCTTGCGTGTAGCTGTCAGTAATAGCTGGGAGGGAGGAAAGGGGGAGGGAAAGAAAGGGGGAAGGAGGAAGGAAGGACCACTTCATCATGGAGCTGGAGGATGAGGTGTTGGGAGAACTGGCATTTGGGCCTTTGCCTGCCCAGCTCCCAGCAATACACTCTCCCTCTCTTTGTCTCAGTTGCCACATTTACAGAACGGTGATAGCAGCAGTTCCCTGCTGAAGGAAGCATGCTAATTCACGAAGAAGCAGGATTTATTCCTGTGTTGAAGGAGGGATCAGATAATAAAAAGTTCCAATGTTTTGATGTAGAGAACAGTTTGGGTGGGAGTTTTTTCTTCCTTTGCCCTGGTCCTTCCACACCAGGTGAAAGGGGTCATAAATATTCACATTTTGAAAGCTTGGTATCTACAGATCATTAAAGAGAACACTGATGTTGCCTTAACTTAGCACTGCTAAGGTGTCCCAGTAACTCAGTGAGTACAAGATCTCACCCTGCTTCTCACTGAACCGAGGCCTGGCTGGCAAAGTATTTATAGAACATCCCTGCGGAGTGGTTACTTACTCTTAATGGCAGTAAAGAAAGGATAGGGTTGATTAAATGTGGCAAAGTCGTTCCCCGTTCAGCCTTCAGTGCTTCCTGCCATGCCAGGACTACAGACAGGGAAAGCAACTAGCTCGTGGAAATAGATATTATTATAATGCATTATTACCTTTGTTGAAAATCCCCACTCAGATTTCTGGAGAGATCCTTTGGGAAAGTGGTTTGTCCAGAGGGAATGGTGGTGGGAGGTCTGGGCTGGCAGGTGGGTGAGGGCTGGGGTTTGGATGCAGCATTGCTTTTGCATCCTTGTCCAGGCTTCCTGGGGCTGCCTCTTTACCTGTAGCAAAGATCACAGTGCAGGGAGGCTAAGTCCTGGATAAGCCCTTAGAGAGGGAGACACATTTCCACATCCTTGTAAACTGAAGAGACCAGATGGCCTCATCAGCCTGATGTTATCTGGGGAGAGCTGAAGCAGAACAGCTAAATGGTGGGATGGCTTAGCAGGAGAAATGTGGAGGCGGGTTTCCCAAGGTCTGGTCCGTGTGTAACCTGCTTGTTAGGATGTGAGATTCCAGGGCAGGGTGGAAGGGGTGGATGAGGCTGGGGAACCTCCTGCTGAGCTCCCGCCACGTCCTGTTAATTTCATATGGCTTTTGTTGTTGGTTTCTGTTGACGCTTTAGGTGAGGTCTGTCACAAATCCTACACGCAGTTCTCCAACCTGTGCCGGCACAAGCGGATGCACGCGGACTGTCGCACCCAGATCAAGTGCAAGGACTGCGGCCAGATGTTCAGCACTACCTCCTCCCTCAACAAGCACCGGCGCTTCTGCGAGGGCAAGAACCATTACAACCCTGGGGGCATTTTTGCCCCCGGCCTGCCCCTCACACCCACTTCCATGATGGACAAATCCAAGCCCTCTCCCAACCTCAATCATGCCAGCCTGGGCTTTAATGATTATTTCCCATCCCGCCCGCACCCGGGGGGTCTTCCATTCTCACCTGCCCCCCCAGCATTCCCTGCCCTCACGCCAGGATTCCCAGGGATTTTCCCACCCTCTCTATACCCCAGGCCCCCCTTGTTACCACCCACACAACTGCTCAAAAGCCCCCTCAACCACACTCCGGACGCAAAGCTCCCGAGCCCCCTCGGGAACCCAGCACTTCCTCTGATCTCCGCAGTGAGCAACAGCAACCAGGCCGCTTCCGGAGAGGAGAAATGTGAAAGCAGCCTGGAAAACTCCTACCTGGAGAAGCTAAAAGCCAGGAACAGTGACATGTCCGACGGCAGTGACTTTGAGGATGTCAACACAACCACAGGCACAGATCTGGACACCACTACTGGCACGGGTTCCGACCTGGACAGTGATGCAGAGAGTGACAGGGACAAAACGAAAGATAAGAGCAAACAGATGGAGAGCAAGCCAGATTTTGTCAGCAGCTCTGTGTCTGCAAGTTCCACCAACAACTCGAGTGAGATCCCTCTCTTCTATTCTCAGCATTCCTTCTTTCCTCCCCCTGAAGAGCACTTGCTGCCTACCACGGGGGCAGCCAATGACTCTATTAAAGCTATCGCCTCCATTGCAGAGAAGTATTTTGGGCCTGGCTTTATGGGGATGCAGGAGAAAAAAATGGGTTCGCTCCCATATCATTCCATGTTCCCTTTTCAGTTCCTCCCCAACTTCCCCCATTCCCTCTATCCTTTCACGGAGCGGACCCTCAATCACAACTTGCTGGTCAAGGCAGAACCAAAGTCACCCAGGGACCTCCACAAAGTCGGCAGCACCAGCTCAGAGTCACCCTTTGATCTCACCACAAAGCCAAAAGAGATTAAGCCAATCTTGCCGCCACCGAAGGTCCTGCCAGCCCCGTCCTCAGGGGAGGAGCAGCCGCTGGATCTGAGCATCGGCAACCGCATCCGAGCCAGTCAGAACGGAGGCAGGGAGCCACGGAAAAACCACATCTATGGGGAGAGGAAGCTAATGGCAAGTGAAGTCTTACCCAAGATTTCCCAGTCTCAACTGCCTCAGCAGCCATCCCTGCATTATGCTAAGCCATCACCCTTTTTCATGGACCCCATATACAGGTATTAACATACCCTGCCTTAAGCGTTTCCTCTAACGAGCTGGTTTTCTAGCTGTCAGCACCACTTGAGGCAGGTCAGGAATTAGGTTGGTCAGAAGGAGCAGTGAAGGTCTGCTCCAGTTGATTGTACTTCTCCTTTGTCACAGCACTTTGAATTCTCTGAATCAGAAGGGCTGCATAATGGTGAGGAGTGCTCCTGATCAATATGTGCTGAGCACATCCTTATTTTGATAACGAAGGAACTTGACCTATTTAAGGACTCTCCCACGAGCCAACGCTAAGATGGCACTTCTGCTGGAGAGATTCCAGAGGTTTGATTCGATAAGAATGCAGAGTTCAGCTGCCTCGGAGCCTGGGCTCGCATGGCTTGGGAATGAGTCAGGAGCCCTGGGAGCCTGGAAATGCAGCTCTCCCACTGCCTTACTTGATGGCCTTTGTGAGCTGGTTCACCTTTCTTCCTCCTCACCACCCTTTGTCTCTCTAATTCCTGTTCTTAAGAGTTTTCCAGTTCATAGGAACTGCTGCTGTGGACCAGCCTTCTGAAGCGTTTTTAGGTCTGGCGTAACATGTGCTATGTAAACACATGGTAGTATGTTATTACCTGCATCCCTCCCATATGCGCTGCTTGCAGACTCAATCTGTCTTAGAAGATAACAAGGGGTTTCGAGTTCTACTTGAAGCTGCTGGGTTTTGAGGAAGGCCCCATCCATGAGGTCATGCCTAGAATAAGCTGAGCATGGAAGTCATGCGCAGAACAGATGGGATGGAGTTACCCAACTGCCAGTTCAGCTTCCAGAAGGAATGAATTCAGAAGGTGTAAAGGGAAGACTTGAGCCTTCTGTTGGTTCAGTGCTTTTTGTAAAGCCTGTGCCTAAAGGAAAATTTTTATATTAGATTAGTTTAAGCTTTACAGTGAGGGTACCAGCAAGTCTGTGTATAACCCATCCGGGCCCTGGCACTACCTTGGTTGTCCTTCTGCTACAGATGAGCTGTGTTTGTCACGCAGCAAATACCATTTGCTTCTTTTTAGCAAAGTCCACCACGAAGAGGTACCCTGACCTAGTTTGGTTTGGACGTTAACATGGCAGTTAATTCTCCCTTAGGCTGGGATGCATCGTAACGTTCTTTCTGGTACGTGGGTTTGGCCTGGAGGGTGCCTGGATTCGGTGTCTGTAACTGCACAGGCAGTTTCTGGAAGGGGATGGTTAGTTCTTGGTTACTCGGGCCAAATACGAGTGTTACAGGGGTGCTTGCAGTAACCCAGCTATGGAAGGTCATGGATGCACACAGGAGCTGCTGGAAAGCCTCACAGTCACCGCAGCACGATGGTGTCAGCACTGGGGTGGTTCACTTGACAAAGGACCACGAACTGCAGCGGGTGGTGTGGCCTTCCCCGGGCTGGAGCAGGAGAACAGCACCTATGTCACCACCACACTGCATTGTACGGCTGATAACTGTGGGAAAAAATGATGTCAGTGTCTAGGCAGGCCAAGGAACTGTCAGCTGGGATGAGGATTAGGGAGCCCTCGTTGCTTGCTATTAAGAACGTGTCTCTCGCTGTGCCAGACTCGCAGGGTTGATGCCGTGTTGCTCGCTCACACATTTGCCATCTGTGATGGAAACGCTGCATCACAGCCCGGGCCGTGCGCGCATTCTGTCCAGGACCACCGCGGTCATCTCCTCCTGGAGACATCGGGGATGATGTAAACAGCCCCGCGTTTATTTCTGTGCTTTGGGGAGCAAAATAAATGGGATGGAAAGGCAAAAGCTTCGCGTTACTGCAGGGTCCTGCCACCTCTGGGCATTCTCAGTAGGAACGTTAAAATAACATGGGTTGGAAAAGCCGTTGCCAATTAAAATAGCAGCCTCGGGAAAACCGTAAAGGTCCAGAAGACAGATGGAAGTGAAGGATGGGGGCATCATTTGGTGCATTCCACAGGATGCATATAGTTTTAGTAATACATTAAAATAGAAAGTCAGCAGTGGAGTTGCTTGTGAATCAGACTCCTGATGTCATGAGCTAAACAGCAGAGCTTCCAAGTCCCAGCTTGAAAAATATGGAAATATTTTGTTTCTAAACTTCTCTTTATCAGACTCTCTCACATCATTTGGCTCCTTCATTTTTCTCCCAAAGGCCACTTAAATCCTTGACATTTTCTCCTGGTGATATAATTTAATGCAGCCAGACAGCCTGAAATCTGTGCAGTTTTTAGCTCGGCCTCGTTAAGGTGACATTCTCAGGCACTGGGCTGAAAAGATCGGCTTAATCCTCCGGTGGCTGTGGAATTCTGCTCTGACGGGGAAGGCTCTGCGTGGGTTGTGTGCTCCTTGCCCAACACCAGGAGATGGGAAAGCTGCCTGAAACGCTGTCGTTCACAAAGGTTGGAGGTTTATGGTCCACCCGGGGCTGGGGCATCCCCTGGGAATTGAGCTGGTTCCAGAGGGTAAATCTCTGCTCGGGACATTTGCTCTTTCACCTCGTGTCAGGGAGAAACTTTGGTTTACAGATGCTTGAACTCACTGTGGTACCCCCCAAAGCACGGTAGTTGTGACTGCGTTTCAGATCCAGCTCTTCTCTTGCCTTCTACCCAAGGAAAATTAAATGCAGATTAAATACAGTTCACTAAATAGCACTCTGCAGGACTCTTCTTTTAAACTCTTTGGTAATTTGATCCACACACCAATCAGCTGAAATGCAGCAAAATAATTTGCTCTCATTTATGCTGGACTAACGTAGTTAAAATTACTCTTCCTATTGGATTTCTGCTGGTTGAGCTGAGGTGGACTCTGCTCCAGTGATTTAAAGATGCAGCTGCATTTGGTGGAGTTACTTTCATAACACTTTGTTCCCATGGAGGAGATTCCAGTTTCTCTTTTTGGTGATTCCACAGCCTGGGTTCCCCACAGCAGAACAGTTTGTGAAAGCAAAGCCAAAATGAGGAGCCTGCCTTTAGGAGCATTTCTCTATAGTAAGGTGCTTAAGCATGGAATGTTTTGCACATGGAGCCATCAGGAGAACTCGGGTTCTCAAGTGGCTTCAGAAATCTCCCACCGCTTCCTGCCTCCCTAAATGGTTGTCCGTGTCTGCTCAGAGAAACTCACTGCAAATGATACCTCAGCTGCAAGGGAGGAAATGGATATGAAACACCTGATGATTTCAGCACACTTGGGGCTGCAAAGCTTGGCCCAGCGTTAACTCTTAAGATAAAGACCAATTCTCAAAGACCAGGCAGGGGCTGCTGCTGTGGACTCCAGAGCTTCTCCCATTCAAGCACTGTTTTTGCTGTAAATGTAAGGGTTTTACATGACATTCCATAAGAGCAGAGGCTTACAAACCACTGCAGCAGAGGCATTAGTCCTCACTTGGAAGGAGCACAACATTTTCTTAGTTGCCACTGACAGCTAAGCAAACACTGCCCAAAGGAGGGGATCCGTTTTCGTGTTGTTTCCAGTGCTTTTTGTGAGGCAACCTGTGGGTCATAGTTTGTACTGTCCAGTAAGAAGGGGAAGAAAGACGTTTGTGTCAGTAGGAGATCAGCCTTGTGTGTGTCATTTAAACAGCTCTGCAAGTGGTTTGGGTAGTTCTTTGCTGCCTGTGAGGTATGTAACCCTCTGTGTTGTTGTCCAGCAGGGTGGAGAAGCGGAAGGTGACAGACCCTGTGGGTGCCCTAAAGGAGAAGTACCTGCGACCCTCCCCGCTGCTTTTTCACCCCCAGGTAAAAGCAGTAACGTTACAATGCGGTGAATGCTGGTTGAATGCTAAGGAACTGGAGATGGAGCTGGTGCAGACAGGTCATTGGATCAGGCTCTTCCTCATCCAAAGGCCTGACTGGAAGCTCCTCCTGTTTTGCTTTCAGATACTTTTAATTTCCTGCCTGCTTTGAGGAGGATGGTAGCTGTGCCTTGCTGCTTCTTTTCCATTAACAGAGAACAGGGATGAGGTCTGGACAGCTCGTATAGTCTGCCAGACTCCCCTTTCACATGCCACAATGCCTATGTAATTTTCCCATTGGGAACACCTGGTGCAGTGATTTGCAGTAGTGCAAAGTGAAGAAGGACTGTTCAGCACCAGGCCGTAGCATTTTACACCTGCCTGGAGTTCTCTTGCACCACTGAGAAGGTGTAAAATTGCAGGGTAACGTAGAAGTGGGGCTCAGTCCTGCCTGCTCCTAAAGGTGATGGATGGGTCACTCAATGGAGAACTCATGTTCTCTCCTTCCTGCACAGCTGCTCTAGTCTCTGTTCTCTGACAGCTCATGGATCTCCTTTGGGTCTGAGTCACTGCTCAGTGATGGGAAACGCTGCTGGACAGCTTTCCCATTGGAGAGTGGGCCAGGAATGCCACCCCATTACCCCACCAGGCCTTTACCTACAGTGTCTGAGTGGCACAACCAAGGCTGTTCATGAGAACACCCCACTCTACCAATCCACTTATCTTACAAGCCGTAGCTAAACTCTCCAAGGAGTGATGCTGCTCTTTATCTTTAGGGTTCCCTGCTCCATAATGGTAATGGAGCAAGCTCTGCCACACGCTGCCCCGCATTGTCCCCAGTGTGATGGTTACCAGCGATCCTCCATCTCTCCTGCCACAAACACACGCAGGGAGCTGTGCTCTGTCGTCGTTATTGTGCTCTCCTTTATATTCACATGCATTGTTCTCCTCTGATACTGTTTCCCACCTTAGATAAATAACTTGCAGGTTTGTGAAAGCTGGGTCCTGGTTGCTTTCACAGCTAAACTTAGTTCCCTCATTGTTTCGCATCAGCCTCAGAGTTTGGTTAATAACTTCCCCCGATTTTTCCTTCGTAGAGGCTGGATAATGGTGACAGGCTGGCCAGGAACATCCTGTGTTTGTGTGAGTTAGAATAGTGGGGATATCTGCCTGTAAAGAATCTGATAGCAGGGAGGAGCTGGTGTGGCAAAGCAACCCAACAAGACGATGAGAAACGTACAGGCCCTGAGTAGGAGCAAGCATTGGGTGGAAGGTGACTAACATTGTTCCTGAGATCCTGACCACGTCCTCTTCCCATGGCAGTGAAAAGATGTGGAAGGTCTGGTTATCTCTAATAGCTTATCACACAGAATAGCCTAAAATTTACAATCACTCAAGCCCAAGGCTTCCTGATAACTCAGCTTTCATAAAGTGGGTGGCTGTGTAAAGATCACTGATCTAGGGAGCTGCTGTTCCCATGCTGTGTAGTCACTCGGGTATTTCTAATATGGTTTGTTCAAGAACATGGTGGGGGAGGATTTACGGGATCCCCATCCAATATTATCCTTTACAAGTCATATTTTCAGGGAATCCTGCTCCTGTCTTCATTAAGAGCAGCGTTCACGTACGGGGTCAGTTAGGGGCACCCTCTACGTGTGTTTCTCTGAACACGAGTCTGGTCTCAGCCTTTTCTTCTGTGAGTAATTCCCCAGCTCTCATGGAGGGCCCTGGGTGGGATGTGGTCATGCCAAAAGATGTAATAAAGGCTGAGCATTCAGCATTCAGAAGATGCTTTCTCTCTCAAAATGAATTTCAGGCCACTTTTCTTTCTTAGCCAGTCATTGACAGTGGTTCCTCTGCTCTGATGGGAGTTCTTCTCACATTGTCTCTTTTAAATGAACCCCTGGACAAAGTAAAGAAACGGTGGAACTTTGTGAGAACTTAATGGAAAAACCTTTTCTCACCTGTTAAGTTTTCTTTTCTTCTCCCCTTCTTTTTTATTATAACCAGGCAGTTGTTCCCTAAATAGCAAAGTGCCTTTGCCACTGGAGAGGCTACGGCCGGGGCTTAGCATTTTAAAACAAGCCTACGGCTATCAAGCCAGCAAACATCTCTGACTAAGTGCCTAAAGAACAGGGCACAACAAAAGATAGCTCCAGGTACTCCGGCAAAGGGCTGAGTGGCACAGCTCTGAAAGATCCGGATAGCATTTTAACGTGATGGTTTTGTTACATGACTGGCAGCTGGGGCAGAGCTTTTGCTGTAAATGATCAAGGAACCTTTTCAAGTGGCTGGCGCTAAGTATTACTTACTATTTATCATGGGCTGGGAGCCTCCAACTAAGGGGCCGTGGATCTATTATCAGGAAATGGGTTTTACTACTCCTCTTTTTTACAGCTTATGAATGGTTGTCAGCCTTCCACAATGTAGGCTTGGGTGATTAAGACAACTTTTTCTTTATGGTCGTACATTTTAAACAATATCTTGGCTCTTTTCCCTGCCCCCCCTGAGCCCAGTTTAATAAAGTGTAAACGTGCAAAAGGTCAGCCCTTCCTGTACAATAGAGCATCTAGTTTTGATCTATGGCTTCCTACTGCCTTCCGCTCGCTCCGCGCTCGGGCTGACTCCGCTCGGGCTCCCGGCTGTCCCACTGATGTCATGGGCAGGGAGGAGGCAGCTTTATTGCTGCCTTGTTTGCTTGATCCCTGTTTTCTGCTTGGTGCCTTGGAAGTGCTCTCAAGGGTGCATAAAAGTGAGCGGTGGAGATGTCAGCAGAGTTCTCCGAGTTGCATTTCTCTCTTAGATTTGGATTTCCTGTTTTGCTCTCAGGAAAGTACAAGTGGGTTTCTTTAGGCAGGAGGTTTGTGCGTGTCCTTTGCTTTTTCTTTTTTTGCACACACAACGTTTTTCTTTCCTTCTTTGCTTTCCCCTTCTCCTCTCTCTCCATGTTTTTCCCTTTCTCCCTCTTTTTGAGTGGTATTTCATCAGTGTTCATGTGAGAACGTGGCTGTTGCCAAGTCATAGAATCCTGGACTGGTTTGGATTGAAGGGAGGACCTTAAAGCTCATCCAGCTCCAACCCCTGCCACGGGCAGGGACACCTTCCACTAGAGCAGCTTGCACCAAGCCCTGTCCAGCCTTTCCTTGAACACTGCCAGGGATGGCACAAGTCTCTAGGCCTGCGTGCCTGTACTTCCCATCTGGACATTGATGTGTAGGTTGTGCTCCTCCAAACCATAACTCATCCAGCCCCAGCTCACACAGAGTATTTTGGCTGGAATTGCACTCCAGGAAGCTCAGCCATCTCCCCCACACCCTTCCATCCCCTTTGCTGGCTTCTGAACCTTTCTTACATGTAATTAAGATGCTGGCCCCTTTGCTAGGCAATCTCTCTATGGACCTGCTCCATCCTGAGTCTGATCTTAACTCCTCCTCTTCACCCCTCGAGCCTCAGCCTCTCCCCTGTCCCAGCTCCCTGTGCCCCCTCCCACTCTGCTTGGCCAGGATTCTTCTGCCTCCTGCCCAGAACTTCCCTGTCCTCTCTGAGCCACCGTTGCCTGCTGACCTGCCTGTCTGCAGCTCGCTGCTGCTTCCTTCTGAGCCCAGCAGAAGCAGCAGCAGGCTTTGACCAGCACACTGGTGCTGAAAGATGTTTTATGCACTTACATTGTTTTCCTGTGGATCTTTATGACGTGAGGCCTTGCCTTGTCCTTGCAGATGTCAGCCATAGAAACAATGACAGAGAAACTGGAGAGTTTTGCAGCCATGAAGGCAGACACTGGCACCTCCCTGCAGCCCCTTCCACATCACCCCTTCAACTTCCGATCTCCGCCTCCCACGTTATCGGATCCCATCCTGCGCAAGGGCAAGGAGCGGTACACCTGCAGGTAAGGGCCTGGGCACCCCAAAGAGGAGAGGCCGTGCCTGCAGCACCTTACAGCATCCCTGGAGCTGGAGCATCAGACAGCAGCGTGCAGCGGAGCAACCCCACATGGACATCTCTGCTGTCTTGGCAGGGGTGGGAGGGAAAACAAGAAGCAGCAGAATTAGAACAGCGCATTCTGATGACTAACTCCCTCTGAAATAGCTTGTTTTGTCTGCTAGAAAATCAGCATCTTCTGTTTTCTTTGTAATTTTTAATAACCTTGAGAGCAGATCTGGAGATTCTCAAGCAAACAGGATTCTCCAAGCCGAGTTTCTGCTAACAGATGCCATGGTTTCCAGAGCAAGTGCAGTCACAGTGATGTCCAGTCTCAGCTAGGCAAAACATTGGTATTTTACAAATGGTAAAACAGCTTTTTCAAGCACAGTTGTATCTACAGAAGCACTTAGGTACTCGCTGCAGCTCTAAAAGCTTGTATGAGAGCAGATCACCAGGGAATAAGAACCTCTGTCTGCCTATGCAGTTTTACCTGCAGCTCCTGGAGGTTCTTGTGGTGGCTCCCACTGCATTTGTCTTGGGTGCAGTAAGGGGGTACGTGTTTTGTTTGATATATCTCTTAGTTTCATTTGCCACAACAGCTGTGGGCTCAGATGTCAGCTGAATATTGAGGTTTCTACCTAAAAGAGGAGCTAAACTTATGTTTAGTTATGCACTCACAAGTCCACATTTGGATTTTCATCACTGAGGGACACTCACAGTAACTGCTCATGTTCAGGCCATCTGAAGGTACTGGATGTCTTATGTTCCTTCTGCAGCAGTAAGCATCAGGTTTCATTGTCACTGAATGTAACCCTTCATCCTTAGTATTTTATTTCCCAGTGAATACTTTTATTTATACCTCCCTTCCTTTTACTGTGAATCAGATTTATTGGGGAACACTGTTCCTCCTCTGATTTCATTTCCTATTGCTGCATTTCCTTATTCCAAACAGGCTGTCAGACTCACGGCAGTATCTCCTGATAACAGTAACACAGTGCTGCAGCATTTGTCTACAAGGAAATCCTGTGGATTCCAGGAAGGATGATCAAGTCCATTCTGTATGATGGGCAGCTAAACAGGGCAATAGAGGAGGTCTATAAAAGTCTCCAGTGCAGTATGACTAGGTAGTGATTAATCACTCTTAATGCAGGAGCGAGGTAGCATCAAATGCAGTTACTGAGTGACAGGTTAAACCAAGCAGGAGGTTCTTCCACACCACACACAGTTCAGCAGAGGGCCTCGTTGCTGGAGGAGGTGGTGGATGTCCAAAGCTTATGTGCATTCAAAAAGCTTTTAGAAAAATAGGTGGGAGAAACTCAGGAAAAGGGTCTCAAACCCAAATATGCAGCCTTAGGCTCAGGAGGATCTCCAGTTCAATGGAAGCTGGGCAAATGCACTGGGGATGGGTCACTATGATTACTGTGTTCCTATGTGCATGCCCTGGTCTCCAAGGTAAGCTCTAAGTCAGGCAGCATTTGGGGCCGTGCTGGGTGTTCGGGTAGGGTTTTTCTTGCCTTTCCCCTGTGTCCTGTTGCTCTGCCCCTCTGGAGATGAGTCACACACACTGTGAATCCCATTGCTCTGCAGTGGGCATCGCTCGGGTGGTTTTGACCTCCAGGTCTTCCTCCCTCAGAACACGGGTTCCTGGAGGTATTCCTGGATAAAGGGGTTTTCTGATTGAGAGCGAGGGGCCGGTGGTGGCTGGTGATGGGTGCTGGCAGTGGTGTGGTGGGGCCGGTGGTGGCTGGTGATGGGTGTTGGCAGTGGTGTGGCATGCAGGACGCTCTGCACTGACGGTGCTTTGGCTTCCCCCCTCAGGTACTGCGGGAAGATCTTCCCACGCTCGGCCAATCTGACCAGGCATCTGCGGACACACACTGGAGAACAGCCCTACAGGTGAGGCTGCCCCCAGACAAAGCCCCTTTCCCAACACACTCCTCATTCACCACCATGCTGTTTTTATTCCTTTCTGTAAAGCTGTGCCAGCATAATTCCGCGGTCCTGTAGCATTACATACAGTGATTCATAGGATTGTATATTATGTGTACCAGCCAAAAATAATCAGGCTTGGCAGCTTGAAGATAGACACTTAACTTATATTTAGATGTATGCTGGCAAATGAGTGGTCTGATTTGCAGTGTTGTTCGACACTCACGTTAACCATTCATCTCAAGGACAGCTGAAGGTGCTGAATGTCTCTGAAAATCGGGCTGTTTTGAAGGGCTTGCCAGTGAGCTAACTGTTGGGTCTGGCTAGGTTTCTTTTTTCTTTTCCTAATGCATATTTAGAGGTGCCTGGAGTAGTGGATCAAAACCCCAGAAGAAAAGCCCTGTAGTGTGTCCACTTTAAAACCTAAGTTAGGGAGCATCCTGCCTTAAATCACATAAACAGTGATGAGAGGAGGGGAATCCATGTGTTGTGTCCCCTCTTTGGTGGGTGTGGAGGGCAGGAGGCTGAGCTCTCCTCTGCTGGTTGTGGACAGGGCAGGCTGGGTTTTACAGGTCACTTTGCACTGTGTGTGTGCAAAAGGGCACATTGTGAAACCAGGCACCTCCTTCCCAGGGCAACACCCTGCGTGCAGGCAGGAGCCGCCTGGGCACGCACCAGGGCTGCTGCTCTTAACGGGACTTCTGGGGCAGGGAGCCTGGGCAATGGGAATAAAACTCACTAGAAAATACATGCAAGTATGTCTGTGTATGTGTAGGTGTATGAGGGAATATTTCTCCTGCAAGACCAAGTGGGAATTTGCACCCCACCCCCCATATTCCTCCTCATGTTTTGCAGTCACTGTCAAAAAATACTCTTTAACGGCTGCATACATGAGCAAAACCGAGCGAGTGATGGATTGAGAGCCTGCTGAAAATCAAGCATTGTGTTTCCATGATAGGAGTGCTTCACGTGTTGTCAGACACCAGTAACCATTCAAACTCATGGGTAGCTAGGAGTATGGTATTCCCTTAGAAGTTCACAACAAATCTAACATAATAGTTATTACATGAAGAAAAACACAAATTCATGAGCAGCAAACAGCCAAGTGCTCAAATCCATCACAGTTTCATGCTTAGTTTAAGTTAAGAAGCCACTTCTCCCACATTGTAATCCCTGGTACGGAGAGAGCCCAGGTTTTTTTCCATGCAGAGTCATACAGAATCTTGAGCGTAGACATGAGGTAAATTCAAAACAAAAAGCCCCTCTCCAAGCAGACATATATTTTGGAACCAGTCCCCGTTCTGATTTTCTCAGTTGCGTTATTTGATAGGCCTTGAATGAACGCTGTGTATTCACTGCACACCCCTGTCTGACTAAAATGCTTGCTCCCGATTATTCAGAGATTGTTAGTTCAGTTTTCTTCCAAAAAAGGAGACTTGCAACTTAACAAAGGTTAGGAAAATAAAGATTTATTTGATCTGGTCTTCTCCCAGAAAATGGCCTGTGTGGGTTTTTGTAAGAGAGGTTTGACTTCTGGACAATGTTGCATTCTAATGGCACTCCTGAGAGTTAGGGCTGCGCTTACAGAGGAGCTCAATTATCATTGATTTTCTCTTGCTCTCAGAGAACTGAGATTTCCAACTTTGGCAGCGGAATTGTTTTGAGAGCTTGTTTTTGAAGTGACAACTTGAGGCAGGTAAAAGGAGGTGCTGAGTTCTCAGTGGTGCGCTGATGTCTGTCCTCTGACTTGTGATGAGTTCAGTGGTTCTGTTTCCTTTTGACTCTGCAGTGTTAGATATTCACCCAAGTACACATTAAAATGTTCTCAAAGCTGACACAAACAGACCAGGTGCCCAACTATAGGTCAGGAAACACGGAGGCCAGAAGAGAAGGTGCTGTGGGTTTGATTCCTGGTTGTCGGTGAGAAGTGATGTGTTTTTCACCCAGTCACTTAAACTTCCCAGGAGTCTATTTGATGTGTAAAGAAGGAATTAATGGCACATGAGCAGTAAGGAGGCAAATGAATTCTTTTTGGAAATGGGAAGTGCTGTGTGGTTTTGGAAGAGTAAGAAATACCTGGTAATGCACTGCCTAAAAGCATCCAACATGGAGTAGTGCATATTTCAATCCCAGTGCCAAAAAGCGCTGTCAAACTTAACCTCTTTCTTTCAGAGAAAGGCAAAATAAGCTGGGCCTGCAGAATCACGTCAGACTTACCTGGAAGCTCAGGTCATAAACCCAGGGCCTTGTTACCATCTGAGCTCACCAGCACAAGCAGAAGTGACGTTCCGTATGCTCAGAGCACAGGAAGGTTAGGGTGTGCTGCAGTTGTGGCCTTGCCTCTTTGCTTTTGTTTTCGTTCTCTGGACTCGCAGAATCACATAAACTGCATAAACCCCAGGCTGGGAACAGCTAAAAGTGTTTGATTCAGCAGGACTTGTATTCTCTTCTTTCAAATGCCCATTCCCTCCAGGATGCCGTCTAATTGATTCTTGAATTACCCCAGTCCTGAAGCCTGTGCGGCTGCGATCCCTCTATAAAGATGTGCTTCCTGACGGCTGGTTTGAATTTGTTTTCCTTTCATTTCCTTTTCAGCCCCCGTGTCCTGTTATCTGCAGTAAGCAACTGGAGCTGACATCTCCCATGTCATTTAAGATGCTTCACAGTTCAATGAGCATCTCTTCTTTCTCAGTTTCTTTTTTAATATGTAGCTTAAATTCATCCCTGCTATAAAAGCGCTCTAGATGAAGGAGTTCCTCAGTAGGTGTCCACGTGTTTTATGCTTTGTTACTGCACTTCTGTCTTTGCAGCTCACATTCATCATCAAATAAGTGTTCATTTTGCAAGTGCTGCCGTGCTGTTGGAACTTCACAAAGCCCTGTATCACATGCTGTACTGTCACATCTGGAGCGGTACCAAACTGCTGTAGCCAGACAGCAATTAGCTCTGTTCCTCATTCTGAGGTTTTGCTGGGCTTTGCTGCCTGATTTTCCCCAGGTACCTGAGCTCCCTCGAGCTCTGGGGGTCGCCTGCCATTCTTCAGTGCTCTGGTTCCACTTCGGCTCATTCCCAGCCATCATTCACTCCCACTTTGGGTTTTTTTAGCCCATTGGTGAGTTACTTTAAGCTGATGAGGACGAACCTTTACCAGTGCTCTGTCAGTGTGTTTGCAAAGCAAATACTGCTGCTTCTGAGTTTTATTCTTCTCCTGGCTCTGTGCTCACCTCTTCCCGGATTTTAAGCTGGTTCCCTCTGCCTGGATCATTTATTTAGATTAAAACCAGCAGAGACCCAAGTACCGACCCCTCTGGGGCCACAAATAACGCAGGCCGTCTCCCTCATCCCTTTGCTTTCAGACATCAGCTATTGCTCCTTTCGAATGCCCCTCTGTTTCCTATTTTTGTAACAAGCTCTTTATCCTCTCTCCATACCCTACCCTGGATCCACATAGCTCATAGAGCAAGGGCCTGTCAAAGGGGACTTTTCAAAGACTTCCTGAACATCTAAATAAATGGACATGCAGGAGGCGAGCTCACTCTTGCCGTGCGCATGCAAGAGCTCCCTTTGAAGTCACTGGGACTGCTCCTGTGAGTAATGGAGGCAAGACCCAGCCCAGCAAACACAAGTGAGGGGGGGGTTTGGCTCTGATGGACATGGAGCTGGTGGGGACAGGCAGGGAGCACAACCCAGAGACAAGGAGAGGGGGCTGCTGGTGACGTGCTGGTAGAGCCACGCTGGGCACAACCACCTATGGGAGTCCTGGGAATAGCAGGGATACTGGAGCGTTGGCTGGTTTGGACACTTTGGTCTTCTGAAGTGCTGAGGAGTAGAGGCTGCCGAAGCCTGGCAGCCTCTGAAAGCAGAGTCAGCGGTGGCTGGTGGACAGGGAGAGAATAGGAGCTGCAAACCTATGAGTGTTTAGCTCTCTGTGTATAAACTGTGCTTGTTCTTGCTGATGTTCAAATAACCTCTTGTTTTCTTTAGTTGTTCAATTCATTTTCTTTCTAAACGTGGCAAAACCTTTTGAAGTCTGAGAAAAGTGTGGTTTCAAAAGAGATTTGGCCTTCTTGCAAGGTTAAGCAGAGTAAAGGTTCATTACTTGAAATGTCTATTCCTGTTGGTGAGTTAGCAGTAGGAAATTCAGAGGTGGGCACGGGATCCATAAACAGGCAGTGATGGAGAGCGTTTCATAAATGTATCTCTGCAACTTAAAACCAAAAATACCCATTTATTATTAGAGAGCAAATAAAAACCACAGCTGTGGCACATCTGGAAATCTGTGTTTCACAGCATAGGTGTTTCTACCCTCACACCTCCTTCCTGCAGTTGAACCTGTTGTGTCTGTAGGAAGCAGAACTATGTCCTGGGTGTTGGGGCAAATCCAGGTTTGTACTTGCATGACACGCCCAGGGTGAGCTCTGTGTGCCCGCTTCACACAGTGAACTGATGGCATTCCCAAAATGAGCACAAGTGCCCTATCATCCTCATGCCTTATCAAACAGCTCAGCCCAGTGGGGTGGATGTGGCTCTCGGTTACAGCAGCACAGAGCAGTTCTAGAGCAAGTGGGTTTATTCTGGAATTACAAGGGCTTAAGAACTGTTTTCATTTTGTCCTCAGAGTGCCCAGGATTTACAGAAGTTTGTAGCAGAGAAAGGATTTTACTTCTCATAGGGTTTGGAAGTAGAGCCGTGAGGAAAGCAGCTTTGTTGAGGTACAACTGACATATTTAAAGGGAGATCTAATGAGGGACTCGGGCAGATTCAGAGGAACTCGGTTTTCTGTAGCTTGAGGGCTGAAGCCCTTCACTGCGGCTCAAAGCTGCCCTCTTCAGTCCATCGGCTGCGGTGGAGAAGCAGGAGAAGGCGAGGGCTGAGCTCCCACAGCCCCTTGCTTTAGCACAGCCTTGGTTTTCTTCCAGCACATCCACCGTGGGTCCTGCAGAGGTTCCTTTCAAAGAGGGAACATTTCTCCACTCATCAGTTTCCCTGGACATTCTGGCTCGGCTCCTCGCATTCCACGTTTTTTCATCATAAACCAGATATTCACTGCACAGGAGTAAATCTTATCCTGTTTGGAAATGACAGTGTATTTCTTGGGAGCTATTGTACTGTAATAACCATAATTCCCTTTAAAGGCATCTGTGCTGCCTACATCCCGAGGACCACAAGGAATGTCACAAATAAATCTGGAGTGTTCTGTATGTCCAGATAACTGTGTCATGGAGGGATATGCTAGCTAATAACTACGGGATACATTTAACCTCCCTCCTTTCTTCTCCTTCTGTCTTCTTTTTCCTCCCTCCACAGCCATATTTCACCTACTTCCCCTGCGAAAGGAGAAGGGTGGAAGAAATAAATTCACCTTCCTTGTTTTTACATTTCTGTGTGGAAAAGTAATTATTTTGTTTAAAACTTGTATTTGTTTGGATGACTCGCTTCTTAATTAATCCTAATCCTTCCTTTGTGCTCCTTGAGTAACAACAATATCAGATTTGTCTGGAATGATTAATGCCTTGTGCTTCCCAGGTCCTCCGCTGAGTAAAGATTTATAGACCAACATTTTCTGCCTTTCTGATAGTCAGATTTTTCTCTTTCTCCCTTTTTCCCCCCCCTCACGTTGCACTCTTTGGCATTTGCTTCTATTTTTCAGGTGTAAATACTGTGACAGGTCATTCAGCATTTCCTCCAACCTCCAGCGGCACGTTCGAAACATCCATAACAAGGAGAAGCCATTCAAATGTCACCTGTGTAACCGATGCTTTGGGCAGCAGACCAACCTGGACCGGCATCTTAAGAAACACGAGCACGAGAACGTTCCAGGTAGGAAGGGGCATGGCTGGGGGGTGCTGGAGGGAGAACACCGCATGCTCTGGTCTTTCTGCTCCTCGGGAAGCCTTTCTGGAATGCATGGTGATGATGCTGTCCTCCTGGGGACACGGTGAGACCTCCTGGTGCAATGCAGATATGGACATGTCAAGCTCTACCAAGGGTTTGCAAACCTGAAATGCATCTGTGGGTATGTGTGAAGTTCAAGAAGATAAACAGGCTTTGCCTTCAGATAAAAACTGCAGGAGGAAATTCCTGTGCTGAAGCCAGCTAAGTGATTTCCCAGCCTAGGAAAGTCCAATAATTATGGAATAGTTACAGGCAAACAACTCTGCAATGGTAGTGATTTTGAATTGTCTACACCATCCATAAATGCTGAATGTCACCTCTGTTTCTCACTGTTGTTCCAGTCTGGAAAACATGAGCTTTGGTCAATGAGGTTTCTCTGAAGGATTAAATCTTTGGTACATAGTGAGAGGATTGGTGCTAATGTGCCTCCTTTATTTTTCCTGTTAATAATACCTTTGACACTATCCAATTGTTTCTCCTGTTCTCTTTTCCTGTTTCTCTCCTCAGTGAGCCAGCACTCCGGAGTCATTACAAACCACCTTGGGACCAGTGCCTCTTCCCCAAACTCGGAATCAGACAACCATGCACTTTTAGATGAAAAAGAGGATTCGTATTTCTCTGAAATCAGAAATTTTATTGCAAATAGTGAGATGAACCAAGTGTCAGCTTTAGTAGATAAAAGGTAGGGAAGCAGATCAGTCTTTTCAGCTGTCTACCCCTATCACAAGGCTTGGTTGGACTGACTGCACCTGCTGCAGTCCTGGTTTCACATGTATCTGTTGAATGCCATTACGAAGGTTTAAGTCCAAAATGCAGGGATGAGAATTCCCCATCACAATGTGATCCAGGTGAAGAACAGTAAGAAGTGTGGAACACACTGATGGGAAATTTCTGGTGATGTTAATCTTACTTTATGTCACTTGGGGGCATCCTGCTGGGTTCCAGGTCCATAGCACTGGTGATCCCACTCTTGTGCTCGTAACATAATGCAGAACTGCTCTGGTTTTGGAGTCTGCCAGGCCCATAGGGCATGAGCAAAAGTAATGAGAGAGTATTTAGGCTGGCTGTTAGATTACACCGTGAGGAAGCTTCCTCCTGGTGGCTTGAAGGGAGATTGTTAGAGCACAGCAGCACAAGAAGGAAAGCTGCTTGTCTCACAGATGCTTTATTTTAGGGGATAGAAAACCATCATTTAAATCCAGACCAAACAAGATTCTAGTTTGAAAGGCACTGAGGTTGGTGTATACTTGACATGGTTATTAGTCCTTAAGGGAGTGATTTTTAAATGCCTGAAATATGTTGGTTTTCCTTTTCCTTGCAGTTTAAATCAGAAGTATATGTACATAAATGTGTCTCTGTATTCATATATATTGCAGTGAAATAGCCTGCCTTACACATTTGGCATTTTCTTTTCTTTCTTCTTCTTCCCCCTTGACCAAATATTTCAGGCCAGAACTCCAGGATATTGATGGCAATTCCCAGTGTCATGGATTAGCAAATGAGAAAACAGAAGATGTGGACGATGAAGATGAAGAACTGGAAGAGGAAGATGACGACAGCCTGACAGGGAAGTCCCAGGATGAAACGGTATCACCCACCGCAGAGCCCCGAGGAGCATTTGAGGATGAAGAGGATGAAGAGCCCACATCTCTCACCATGAGCTTTGACCACACCCGAAGGTGAGGAGAGCCATTCAGTCCATTCGAGAAGTCGAACGGGGCTCAGACTCCTGACCCTGTGGCGTGGTAGATTGTGAGTGCTGCTGTTTTGTTGTTGGAGCCATGTGTCATACCTCAGTTTGATGTAAGCATCCACCTCAGAGATTCCATTGTCACCATGGTGGGGGACACAAAACAAGTGGACTGCAAGGAGAATCTGTGCTGAGCTGTAGGTGCAAGACTTGAAAAGCTCATATCAGAACAGTTAGTCCAGCACAGAAACCCGCATCTTCAGGGTACCGCCGCTCAGAGGAGAATGTCTTTCCCTCTAAGTCACTGGCCAGAGTGAAGGAAGAGGCGTATGCCTGCAGTCTGGTTTGTGCTGCTCTGCCCATTTTAGTTGTAGCCAAACGTTGACTTCAGTTCTGGTTCTCAGAGCTCTGGGGAAAATTGAAGCTTTTTTCTCAAGGTCAAGCCATGTTAGACACCTCTAAAATGAAAGTTCATGGCACAGGCTTAGCTTGCTTTTTGCCTCAGTTTCCTACATAGTATTTGTAACAAATGATGCAAAGTAGTACCTGACTTGATTTCAGTGCATCCCTGTTTTCATTGCAACCCAAAGAAAGCACAGCAGTGGATTCAAGACACTGGTCCGGTGTCAAACATCCCCAGGAGTGCACAGCATCCTCCCCACAGACAACCAAAGGGAATTGTAGCCACGCTGACTCACAAATAGCGATGCACTGATGCTTGTGTGTGCACAGCCATGCTCTCCACTTTTTCTTTGCTCCTTGCATTGTGTGTCATGTCGGTGTTTGTCCGTCTGTCCGTTCACGCATGTGGCTTGTGAGTCCCCTGTGGTATGTGCATGCAGGCACTGGGTTAGCAACACTCACTTTGGCTAGATGTGAACGGTGAGATGAGCTAACAACAGGTAAACCCCTTCCCCTGGTCATTGGTACAGGTGTATTGAGGAGGACGAAGCCGGCCTGTTAGATTTGGAGCAGATGCCGAATTTTGGGAAGGGGCTGGATCTTCGCAAAGCAGCCGAGGAAGCATTTGAAGTTAAAGATGTGTTTAATTCCACCTTAGACTCTGAGACAATAAAACAGACTCTGTACAGGCAGGCTAAAAACCAGGTAGGTATATTGCAGAACATTTTACCTAGCTCGCACTAGGATTAGCAAGCTCAAACAGTTGAGGTTCATTTTCCCCTTCCAGTGACCAGGAATTCTAACTGTAACATGTGAATCATATGTGAACTGTGTCTTGTTGCAACTGTACTGAAACAGAGGAGAAACCGAGTGGGCATCCGTTCTAGATGACCAGGTCAATTTACCCATAGCCTGTGCTGTGAGAACATGCTTGTAGAGAAAGATAGAGGCGTCTGTCTGTTCTTATCTGTGTGTATAAATGTTTTTATGACTACTATTCATTTATGCTGTGGGATGGGTCTTCAGTTGAGTCCCTTTCTAACCTTCAAGCAACAGAATTTGCCATGAAATCTGTTTTAAATGTCCAGCAAAGCAGCAGCTGAACACAGTTGCCAAGCAGAACATGATTTCTGATTTATCATCCCCCTTCACAGTAGCTGCCAGTACTGAAGCTGAGGAAGGTCTGCTTGGAGATAGGACACAGCTTGGTTCGGGGTGAAATCAATTCAAACACAAGCCACTTGCCTGACTCTTACATGTGTCCTCTTACTAATATGCCAAATGTACTAACCATGTAGTAACAGCTTGCTCTGTCACAATTTGTACTACATTGGTAGGCCCAGCCTGTGCTTGGATGGGGAGAGTATTCTTCTTCTTGAATCCATTTTATAGTGTATGAGATGCAGGACTGGTTACACTTAAATCCCAGCAAGTAACCTGAACAGTTCTAACCATCTCTAGTGCAGGACATACAATGGCAGAACAGCATTTGTGTGAGCAGCACAGCCCCTCTGGCTGGCTCTTAAGCAATTTTAGACGTGTGCATGTCCATAATAGTACAAAGCTGTGCATCTTCCAGCACACACCTACAGTACAGTGTGTTGACAAGTAGCTCTCGACTCTTGCTTTTAAGAGGAGAGGCAGAAGTTGGAAAACTGGTTTATACTGTCCCCATTAGAGTTGCATTCCTAAGGGTCCTAGTGACTAAGGGTCCTACTGTGGTAAGCGTGGTACTGATGACCCAGGTAACATACGGTCTTTGTCTCTTGCCCTGCAAAGGATTGCGTGTGGTGAGTGCTGCTTTGGCCAACAGAGCCCCAGTTCCATTGCAGAGTATATGTACCTATATTCCTACATACCTGAGCCCGTTTTTACAAGCACCAGTGGGCTCATGGCAGGCAGTACCCTACTGCCTGGTGGGCTATGCTAGTGTGGCTGTTGCTGCACCATTCTGGGGCACATGGCCTCACTTAGCCTCTGGCTTATCTGTAGCTGTACTTTGTATTAGAACAAACCAAAGCAGCTGCACTGTGCGTGTAGCCACTGTCCCCTGGGCAGAGCCTAGACTCTTGGTGCGGGTTTGTGACCAAGTGCAGAGCTGGCACAGCATGGGTTTGGTCCTGCCCTGGGTTTGGATGGTGGCCTCTCCTGGCTAAGCCTGCCCTGCTACAAACTCCATGGCAGGTTTGAGTGGTTGGAGTGATGGGTCTCATCCTGCTATGCGGATGAGAGGTTCTTAGCCCAGGCCAAGGGGTGCTGGAGGGCCTGCGTTTCCTGCGTGGTTAGCTGGTGCTGTGTTTCACATGCTTTATCTCAGCCTGTCCTCTGTGTGTATTCACATGTGTCCTCTGCACTGCTCTCTTCTCCTAGGCTTATGCAATGATGCTGTCCCTGTCTGAGAACGCTCCCCTCCATGCGTCCTCCCAGAACTCGCTGGGTGCTTGGTTGGACATGGCAGGAGCAGCTTCAGAGTCGGGGACCTTCAACCCCATCAACCACCTCTGAGAGGTCAACAAGGCACTGGCCAGAGCCCCGGCGAGGAGGCGGTGGTGCTGCAATTATCCCAGCAAAAATCCCAGCAAGCAGAAGACAGATGAGGGGGCCTCAGGGAGTCGTCTGGACCCTTGGCTGAGGAGGAAACCTGTCGCGTCTGACCTGCAGGTCCTGCCTTTGTGTCTGTCCAGAGTTTTCCTTTCTAATTTATCAGCATGAGCCTCTCCAGAACTGGATAACCCTGAAGCAGCCCCAGGATTTCACAGTCTGTAGGAATAGCACGAGCAAGACACGAATTGCAACAGTGCAATCAAGCATTGGCCCCTCTAACCTTACCCAGCGGTTATCACTGAGCCAGTAGAGCCTGCCTGTAAATGGAAGCTTGAAACCATTTGGTAGCATTTCCTCTCAACTCAGCTGAATGGTGAAGTACGAAGGGAAGAGCCAGGTGTGACCTCTCCCTGGTGCAATTCTACGCAGTCACTGGAGTTATACCAGGGAAAGGGAAATTCAACCCATTCTGTTGCCCCCCAGAAGAGTTTGGTGTGTGTGGTGGGTGAGCTTCGCCTGACAAAGGACAGTTTGGACATGCCTTGGCTTACCAACCAGGGGTTTATAGAGTGGCAGCCTGGCAGTGTCAATGGTGGCAGCAGTTCCTGACTCCTGCAGTTGTTCTGCTGTGCTGGACGGTTCCTACACATCACCCGCTCCATGCAGCCTGTAATTTCAGTGGAAAGATGATTATTTCCTTGCTTCATCAGGCTCAGGGGTACAGCCCTCTATTGAAGCACATAGCTCAGAGTCCAGTTGTGTCTCTGCCTCTGCAATTGCTGGCAGATATTTTATGAGTCTCACCCCCTTCACTGATCCAGAGCAGCCTTCAGAAAGACTGTGATGGTGTCTCTGCTACTCTGCATTGCACTTACAGTCTGCTGTTGGAGCAGGGATTTTGCAGGCAAAGCTGAATTAGAGTAGTCAAGAAAGCACTTAAACCTTGCAAAGGATGGCATTGGCTCCACAGAGCAGATCTCAAATGTGTGTCTGGAGAAATTTCACATTAAAGCATCTAAGATGTAGAAATGATGAGGACCAGACTGCTGCTGGGTGACACCACGGGCCTCTGCATCTTGCCCATTGCAGTTCTGCATCAGCAGCCTGCTGGGAGCCTGGAGGGAACGTTGTGTCCAAAGCATGAGAAGTGAAGAGGAACTTTTCCCATGAAGGTCAGCATCATTTGGTACTGGATGTGCTTCCTGGAAGTGTTTTGTCAGGTAGTAACTGCTTGCAGAACTGGGATAATGGCCGACTTCAGAGAAGCAGCACGCAGCCGTCAGCGTGTCTGCCTGCAAATCCCTGACATGTGCAGCCTGCATGGTATGGGAGAGAACGGATGGAGGCTGCTGTGCCAGGCACTGCGGAGAAACCCAACGGGGAAGCCTCATTCCAGCATGCCAAAACAAAGGAAACAGCTACCTAAATAAACAAAGCTGAGATCACGTTGGGACGAGACCTTTGCATCCAAGAGGAGACATGAGGCTGGTTTTAGATCCCCAGGAGCCTCAGACAGCAAGGAGAGCCTCAGGAAAGCACCTTGGGGTGGCTTTGGTACAGAAGGAACAAAATCGGCAGCATCAGCGTATTTCCAATGGGATTCACCTTTCCTGTTCAGTTTTCCACAACGTCCGGGGAAGGTGCTCGAGGCCGAGACCAACAGCACGGCCCCAGCTGCCTCCTGGATTTGCACAAAGCTCTGGGGAGCAGAGCCCGAGAGCTGCCCATGGCAGCAGACACCAGCTCTGCGAGGGGACGGGCTCTCCCCAGCCAGCACCTCTGCCTCTGCCGCCGCTGCTGCAGCCCAGCCCTGCCCGGGCACTCGGCCTTCAAGTTATTGCCACAGGGGCCAACTGAAACTAAGGAAAGAATTGTTTCTTTTCCCATGGGATTGATTTCAATCTGTACAGAACTGGTCAGGGTGGGCGGATTCTGGTCTCATTTTATTTCTTCCTTAACAGTATTTTTTGCGTTCGACGTCACTGTTGTGAAGAAATGATGTTAATACGAGGGCGTCGTGAAGGACCAAACCGGTGTCATTAAGGGTGGATGGTGAATGGTCGGTAACCAGGGGGGAGGCAGAGTTTGTCCGTGTCCAAACGCCCCTGCCCCCTGCTCCAGACAATCCCACCTTTGGTGACCTCTGCCTGGGGGTGGCCGGGGGGGGCAGAGCACCGAGGTTTCTGTGTGCTCCCTGGGCAGCAGCGAGCGCCAGCCCCGCACCGGGCGCCTGCGCCCAGCACCCGAGCCGGGCTCTGCAGGGCCAGCAAGGAGCCGGCTGATGGCAACTGAGGGCACCGCGTCCCAGCGGGCACCTGCAGGGGCAGGGAAGGGCTCTGCCTCCACGGAGCTGCTCCAGGAGAGCACGGACACATCCCTGCCTTAACCATGGGGATGGAGCCGTCCTGTCCTGCCCTGTCCTGTCCCAGCACAAGGGCCTGAGCTGCAGCTCCCTGGCTCCTGGCCACATCCATCTGTGCATCTTTCTGATGGGGACCACAGCGCTGTCTGCCTGCTGGAGCAAGAGCTGTGGGAAATAGGAAGTGTTCATGTGCTCTGCCCCAGAGGTTTGTTCCTTGTTGAAGCAATCCTTCAGTTCAGCATCGCACTTCTCAGCATGAGGAGGTGATGGAGCAGCAAGGAGCAGCAGTGAGCTGGTCTCCAGAATGTGGCCAAGTACCAGGAAATGTCGCTGTAGGGATGTATTTGGGGTGTGTATGGTCTTCCCTTCGCTGTCTCATCCCTCCTGTTGTGTTGTTTCTCCAGGAGCACAGTTTGTTGGCTCTGCCCGGGCTGGAGCAGCCACCGTGTCCCTCATTGGGCTGTCCCATGGCTCTCCAGAGCATGGGCCTCTCTGCACAGGGACCGGGGGGCACAGACCAGCCAGGGACTGAGGACATTGCAAAGAGAGCTTTTAAAATCATGAGATGATTTTTTTCTTTCCCTCTCTCCCCGTTCAGTCTTGTTCCCATTCCCTCCGCCCAGTGTCTCTGTAGGATCTCCTCTGATTTAGCACTGATTACAAGTTTTAATTCTCCCACATTAAATAAACAGAAAGCCTCACTGAACCTCTCCTTCTCTCGTAGCTGTCATTCGATTGCACTTGAGCCGTGCTGCAGCTCATAGCGGGTGTTGTTTGTGATCTGCTGGTTTGGCACAAGCAGTCCCTCGTTTTGGAGGGTGTTTCCTGAGAGGTGCTTGTTGAGGCGGGTTCTGCCAGCGGGCACAGTGCTGGGACAGGGCTGGGGTGCTTGGGTGTGATGGGCCATGGAGCCATCATGCTCATGTCCACCCGGTGCCACCAGTGTGTCGATAGAGCAAGCCCAAGGGTTGGAATGTGGCTGGCTGCTTGTTTTAAAGGCAGGGTACCACTCGAGGCGGGATTCAAACCAAGGATGCTTGTGTAGGGTCTGTTTATTAAGAGTATTTTCCCATCCCATAGCCATACTGCCACAGCAGCAAGGAGGGGAGAAGCACTGTGAAGTTTTGGGTAGCCGCTGGGAAGTGAAGGTGCTCCAGGAGGGGTCCTCACTTCTCACCATGACTTTGACCCCAAACACCTTTCTGCTGCTGGTCAGGGAGGAGGAGATGGCTCTGCTGCATGAACCTGCCCTTTCTCCTGCTGGCGGGCAGTGCGGGTGGTGCTCATCACGGCGGCTGATGCAGAGAGCTGGGGGTGCAGCACGACTGCTGCGGGTCCTCCTGCGGGATGTGCGGACAACACGCGGGTCGGAGGCACCCGGTCTGCTCTTTGCCAGGCGGCTGCTCTGGGCACGTGCCTTTCCCGTGCATCCCGAGCATCCCATGCTTCATGCGCTGCAGCAGGGAGGAGGAGATGCACAGCAGCAAAGCCAAACCAAACAGGGTCCAAGAGCGAAACGCAGCCAGGTTTGCTCAGCAGCATCCCAGGACAAAGCTCCGAGCCTGGGTTTCTGTCCTGCTCAGAACAGAGCAGAGGAAGCTTCCAATTCTCCCTAAGCAGCACTTAGACTCGCGACGGACGCTCTCGGGAGCGGCAGCCTTTGGAAAAGCACTTGCACAACGACGTGAGCGTGGTTGACTCTGAGCATCGAAGCACTGGATTGAGGCCCCCCCTCCGCCCCGGTCAATCTCTGCTGACTCTACCTGCGGTTCTTACGTGCTGTACTGTGTGTGTGTGTGCGTGGCGGGGCATGGGAGCTGCCCGGGCTGCGACACCAGGGCAAAACCCTCTGCGGCGAGGCGCTGGTCAGTAGTGTCGTCACCAAGCCATGGAGCTTCTCTGTAGTGTTGAGTGATAACTGTGATTAAACCCTTCCTGAATGATTCCGAGGTTATTTTTCTCTTTTTTTTGTCGTTAATTCTTATTACCACTTTTTTTTGGGGAAAAATATAAAATAAATTAAAAAAAAGGAAAAAAAAAAAGGATGAAAAAGAAAAAAAAAGGCAGCTTTGATTTCCAGATGTGCAATTCACGTGAACAAAGTAATTCTGACAGTAATTCTCAATGTATTTTACATTCTCTTCAAAGCAAGAGCTGTTTTGCCCTGATGTCATTTCCAGCCTGCAGAAGATGTAATTTAAAACATATATATATTGTGCTTGCAAGAATCATAAATCTGTGCATCCTTTGTCATTCCTTTTCCCATTGTTACAGGACAGATCTGATTTAGGGTTTGGTTGGTTGTTTTTTTTTTTTGTCTCCTTTAGGACTGTATAGTGTTTTTTTAAATCAATTGTAAATGTCTGGTTTTCATATAATGTTTAAAAAACATTGAGAAAGAGGATGGTGCTTGTTCCATATCATTCTTGATTGTATATTGCTTCTGTTATGTTTATAAGTAAACTGTGCATGACTTGTGTTTAGCAGTCATTATTGTGTCTGTTTGTGGAATTTTTATGGAGAGGACAAGAATTCCGTAGATGCACTTATTGTAAATGTGATTAGACTTCGCGTCGAGGCTGGGAGCCTCCAACTGCCCAGGAAGAAGACGAAAAGTGTTGGCAGTTATTAATTAATATGAAATCGCTTTGTTGGGAGCATAATGAAATAAAAGAGATGAAGTGTAGAAAATAATTAAAAGAGCGATTTTACACATTTCCTTTTGATGCTTGTGATAAAAGATTCAAATGTACTTGTGTAGAGAAATCCCTTTAAAATAATGAATAGAAAAAAGCTGATTTTGAGGTTAATGCTGTAGAATAGGAATGTATACCAAATGTAATCTTTCCAATGCTACAATGAATTTATACATGAGATTGATATGCAATAAACCTGTGTGCTTTTATAAGCAGTGGTCCTGGGAGCTTTATTTTCTTGGTGGGAGGGTAGGAACAGCACAAGGTGCTCGGGGGGGGGGGTGTTTGGGTGCATTGCTCTGTGCTTTGCTGCAGGGAAGGTGTGAGGAGGGAGAAGCAGGAATTGAAGGGGGATGCAGTAGAAATGGGAACTTGTGCAGGAGCAGCCCGACGGTGTCTGGCAGGAAGAAGCTGCCTGGTGAAGAGCTGGGTGTCGGAGCTGCCTGCCCTAATCCCTGTTCTCTTCCTCCTCAATGCTCAGGGATGGAGGGAAGCGGGTGCTTGCAGCGCATCCTCCTGCAGCCCTGCATGGGGCTCACTGTGAATCCCGCATCCCTGGTGCCAGCATCACCCTGGAGTTCCCTCAGTGCGGGGATGGGTTCCAGGGAGGTGCGGGGGAAGGAGGCAGCCCCAGCAGGTCCACATCTCATCCAGGGCTGGCTGTGGAGTGTCCAGAGCCGGCAGAACACCTCTGCATTGACTACAGCGGCAGCGCTGAGCCCTCGCTGCCTGTGCAGCACCTTTGTTGTCTGATGTTTAATGTGCTTGGTTTGTAACGTGTCAGAAAGGCTTCACTCACTGAAATGACAGACACCCCCCTTGCTGCCGAGGGACCGAAGGACCAGGCACTGCTACTGATCCTGTGTTCTGCCAAAGGGATGCTCCAAAGGGAGTGAGAACGTCCTGGGGTGGGGGAATGGGTGAGCAGTGAGATATCTAAAAATGTCAAGACTATTTCCTTCCAGCCTCGGAGCTGAGTGAGGGAAGGATCCAGTGACAGCGGTCAGATGTTTCAGCGGGGGCCCTGGGAGCAAAAATGACTTGAAAGCAGGGTCTTTGAGCTAACAACACGCATTACAAAACTGATGAATGGTGCCTGCTTCAAAAAAGTCATTCATCGTGATCAAATGATGGTATCCTGCATACAGCGTAATGGCCCTTCCCTGGAGGTTGCCGTGTAAGGGGCTCAGTCTTAGCTGAACCCTTGAGTAGAAACCCTCTTCCTCTCCGCGACGGCTGCAGCCTTTCTCCTTATTAGCCCCGGAGGGAAAGGCGAAAAATCTATGGGAGAAGAAAGCTCTGATAATGGAGCGATTGTCAGGCAGGGCCTGGAACAGTCTTTTAACAGAGTATTGCTGACAAGTGGACTTTGTCATCCACAAAGCACTTGAGATTCACCACGAACCAGCCAGAAAAAGGCTCCATTTTTGGGGGGGGGGGGGGAGGGGGGGGGGAATCAGAGCAGGGGCAGAAGAGGAGGTCACGGAGAAGCCGGTTCCCAGCGAGCGCTGAGCGCTGGGAGCGGCCGCAGCCTGACCTTGGATCCGCTCCCGGCAGCTGCAGCTCCCGGCGCAGCGTGCGGCACCGGAGCGACCCGGGGGCTGTGTGTGACCGCTGCAGCCTTCAGCTGCTAAAGCGAGCCTGAACCGTGCCCTTGGGGAAGGCTCCTGAAGAGGAGACCTCAGAGCAGCTCCAGTGCCTGGAGGGGCTGCAGGGAACCTGGAGAGGGGCTTGGGACAAGGGATGGAGGGACAGGAAAGGGGAACGGCTTGAACCTGCCCGAGGGGAGATGGCGATGAGCTCCGAGCCCGCGGCTGTCGGGACGCGCGCATGGAGCCCAGGCGAGCTCCAGCGCCCCCGGCTGCAGGGGCCGGCCCTGCCCGGTCCCTCCCTGGGGCGGTCCCGTCCCGCCCCGGCGCCGCGCAGGGTGCGAGGGGTGCGGGTGCGGGCGGGGGCCGCGGGGCTCCGGAGCGAGCGGGCTCCGGGGCAGGGGCGGTGCAGCCCCGGCAGGACCCGGCGCCAACGCCGCTTCCCCGCCCCGGCCCGGCCGGGAGGAGGAGGCGGGGCCCGGCGCTGGCAGCGCCTCTTCCGCGGAGGGAGCGCGGTGAGTGCCGAGGTTGGGTCCGACCCAGCGCGAGGGCCGGGGCCGGGGCTCCCCCGGGTGCGGTCCCGGGGCCGTAGCGGGGCCGTGTGCGCTGCGGCTGCGCTGCGGCTGTGGAGCTCCGGGCAGCGGGGTCCAGCCCCTGCGAGGTGCCCGGCGTGGCGGGGGGGCTGCAGCGCCGCTGGGACCGGGTGCGCCCGTGTCTCGTTACCGGGTGCTTCAGGTGGGAGTCGCCCTCGGGAGGGGGCTGGGGGTACCACGAGGCTTTCCCGGGATGGGTTGCGGAGCTCTGGCCATGAGGGCTGTGTCCCGCAGGCAGGGGCAGGCAGAGAAGCAGCATCGCGATCAAATGAGCTTTTGTGGCTGGGTCTGCCCTGTCCTTCTGCCGCTCATTGATGCAGGGAAATGTGTTCGAGTCTTGGTTTCTGCTTCCTGGTCTGTGGCGTTTGAGGAGGACCAGCTCGGAGGTGGAGGTGGAACAGAATGTGTCAGCGGAGAGGAATGAAACCCTAGTTTTACCTCAACCTGTGCGGTGGGGCTGGCAGTGGGGTGAGAGGCTCTGGTTTGCTCTGTAGGTGCACGTGGTGTGGGTGGTACAGGAGGAGCCGAGTGAAGTTTCACCCCATGAGGAGCTGCAGGGAGTGGGGCCGGTGGTTTTGGTTGTGTGGAGCCGCTCCCCGGAGCGGTCTGGGACAGGAACAAGCTTTGAGGAGCACAAAGCTTGCGGTGAGGCACCCATGGGGCTTTCACAGCACCTCAGACAGGAAGGGAAAGGCCTGGGCGCATCCTGCACCGCTCTGCATGGCGCAGGGGTGGTGAGAGCATCATGAGTGTGTGTGAATGGCTTGGTCTGTGTACAGCATCCTGGGAAGAGGAGCCCGTCCCGAGTATCCCTGTGGGAGCTACACGTAAATGCCCTCTGCAGTACTGGAAGGAGCTCATCCGTCTGTCTGTCTGTCTGTGTCACACAGTGTTCCTGATCCCTGTGCCACCGCCATGTCTCGGAGCCCCCCCAGCAGCTCTGTGGATGACAAGGCCTTCCTCCTGGAGTACCGGTGCCACCCCGTGCGCCCGGAGCCCCCCAGCCCCACCAGGAGGCACAGCTCCACCACAGTGCCCGACGCCACCTCCCTGCTGGCGATGGGCTCCCCCCCCGCGGCCGAGCCGCGCCGCATCGTCCTCAGCACGGACAGCCCGGCCGCGCTGAAGGTGGGGACCCAGCAGCTCATCCCCAAGAGCTTGGCCGTGTCCACCAGGACCAAGCAGAACCCGTCCCGGCTCCAGAGCTCTGCGGCGAGCCGGGAGCCGCTGAGCCCCGACCCGAAGGGGACGTCGGTCCCCAGCCTGTCCCTGGAGGCAGAGGAGGAGGAGGATGGGGGGGGGGCCCTCAAGCGCAACCTGAGGAACATGTCCTACCGCGCGGCCATGAAGGAGCCGGGGCCACCAAACGCCGTCTCCTCACTGAAACCTGTGTCCGAGGAGGGCAGTGCCCTGCCTGCCCACAGCCCCGCCAGGAGCAAGGTGGGTTCTGCACCCGACTGTGGGGATTGATCCTGTGCTGGTGATGAGCGGCTGCTGGGATCTGCAGGGCCCCTTTCCTGATGGTTCCAGAGCCATGAGCCGGTGTGGAGCTGGCCGGGCTCCTGCGCCCGGTGAGGATGCTGCCCTGGGAAGCCTGCCTGTCCCCAACCGGTGCTGCAGGTCCCCTGAGAGCTGACATGGGAAGGAGCCGGCTGCTCCGCGGTTCTGCAGGGTGTTTGCGGGGAGGGGTTGCTCGGGTGTGCGGCTGCTTGTGCTCAAACATGGGTGAAGCAGGCCTGGGGACAGGGAGACTGCGGTACAGGCAAAGTCCAGGTGTGAGACACAGACATGGAGGGCAGCGGTGCTGCTACTGAAGGGTTTCGATGGTGACCCCGATAACACGGGGTGAAAGTTGAGTCACTTGGGGAAGGCAAATAGGAGCTCAGACAAAACGAGAGCCAAAGAACAGGGCGGTGTTTGCCGAGCGGCAGCGCCGGTGACTTTCCCAAAGGAGCTCGGTGCTTCCCAGGGCTGCAGCGTCTGCTCCTCTTCTTCCTCCTGCAGAGAACCTTCGGGCGGAAGCGGGTGCAGAAGCGTGGCGGCTCCTTCAAGGACCGTGAGTGCTGCCTCCCTCCCGTCTTCCCCAGAGCATCCAGCATCCCTCTGCCTCACAGCACCGCTTGGAATCGCTGCAGGTCCCTTTGCCACGCGCGCTGCTGCATGTCCCTGGCCTGGGGCTGTTGCTTTGCCTCCATTTCCCCACCAGCAGGACCACTGCAGCCCTGCTTCCCGCTCCCTGGAGGGTGATGACGTTCCAGTTGCTGGAGCGCTCCCAGCTCGGCAAACACGGGGCAGCCTGCGGGAAGCGGGAGCTGCTGGTTCACCGGGGCTGTGCAAAGTCCAACCTGGGCGTGCTGGTGCTGGCCCTGGCGCACAGCGCTCGCGGCAGGGCTCTTGGTGGTTGGAGTGGAGGCCGTGGGCTGGGAGAGGCTTCGCTGACCTCGTGCCTCCTGTGCAGAGCCCCGGCTGTACCAGGAAATCCGGGAGAGGGGCCTGAACTCCGTGAGCCATGAGTCAGACGAGGACTTGCTGGAGGAATCCATCCCAGAGGAGCCGTCCCCTGCGGGTGCTGCTATCGTGGTGCAGAGCTATCGCCCGGCACAAGTGACCTGGAGCCAGCTCCCGGAGGTAGGGCTCTTGAGCACAGCGTGCTCTTGATGGGTGTATTTAAACGCTCTCCAGCAAGCTGGGAGTGGATGGTTCTGCAGCATCAGTCTCTGCAATGGGATGTCCTGGGGCTGTCCAGCCCTGGCTGGGACACGCAGGGTCCTGTCCAGGCTTGTTGGGGTGCTGGTGGAGCTGCTGTGGTTGTGCTTGTGAGAGGGGGAAGGCAGGTTGTCCTGCGGGTACCTGGGGAGCAGGGTGCCCAGGGAAGCTGTGGCTGCCCCATCCCTGGCAGTGCTCAAGGCCAGGTTGGACACAGGGGCTTGGAGCAAGCTGCTCCAGTGGAAGGGGTCCCTGCCCGTGGCAGGGGCTGGAGCTGGAGGAGCTTTAAGGTCCCTTCAACCCAAACCACTCCATGCCTGTACTGCAGAGCAGCATCAGCTGTAACCGGTGGGCGATGCTGCGGGTTGTGCGGGGCTGGGCAGAGCCTCAGACCGCACTAGAGGGCGTGCAAGGACCACGGCTCGGTGGTGTAGGGTCCGCTCGTCCCGGCCTCGCTGCTCATCCCGGCCTTTCCCCGCAGGTGCTGGAAGCGGGCATCCTGCAATGGATCTCCCCCGAGGAGCGCAAGCGGCAGGAGGTGAGAGGGCCCTGGGCAGTGCCCACAGCAGTGCGGACCCCGGTGGGATGTGTGTGGCTGAGTGCGGGCCCTCTCGTGCAGGGCTCAGCTCCTGCATGCAGGATCCATGGTGCTGGTACCTCTGGAACTGGGCAGCACTGGAGCACTCGCCTGCTCTTGTTGGTGGGGATGAGGCAACTCTGTTGGATGCTGATGGGAAATAGCCAGTGGAAGGGAAGACATCTTAGTGCTGTAGGTTATAAACAACTGAGTGTCCCAAACCACACTGAAGTTATTGGTGTAGGCCAGGCAGTGCAGGAGATGATACGGGGAACGCTGTACTGTAGGAGCAAAGTGTTCCCAGCAGCTTCATGCCAACTGGATGTAAACATGATGTAGTAAGTTCTAATCCACTGCCTTGTTTGTGCTGTTGCATCTTCACTGCCCCCCTTTCTTTCAGGCCATGTTTGAGATCATCACTTCTGAGTACTCCTACATGCACAGCCTGAGCGTCCTGGTGTGCCACTTCATGAGGTCGGAGGAGCTGAAGGAGACCATGACCCAGACAGAGCACCACCACCTCTTCTCCAACATCAGCGACATCCTGGCGGTCAGCACGAGGCAAGTGGGGCTGGGCTGTGCAGAAGGGATCCAGAGCCTTGTCCCGTCTGGGAAAAGAGGGGGGAAGTGGCAGTGGGAGCATTGTGGAGCACACATTGGTTTGTGAAGCCCTAAGGGGTCATGTGGTGAAGTCGGTTGCAATTCTGTTAGGTTCTTCGAAGACCTGGAGAAGCGGTACCAGGAGCACCTCCTCATTCCTGACATCAGTGACATCGTGGAGGAGCACGCCTCGAACCACTTCAGTCCCTACATCAGCTACTGCTCCAACGAGGTCTACCAGCAGAGGACACTTCAGAGGCTGCTGTGAGTACTGCTGTGTGCTCGGGCTTGCAAAGGAGTTGCCTCCGCAGGGTCTCTGGGCTGCAGTGATGCTACAGGGCTGCAGATGGGACCAGGAACTGCATGCGGCCCCCTCAGCCGTGTTTCCTTCCTTTTCCCTAAAGAATGCTGTTTCCTCTCTGAGCAGAGTTCAAGTTCTAGACCTCTGTGTGCCTGTGTTGGGTGATTGGGATGCGATCTGTGTTGTGCTGTAAGAAGGGTGAAGGATGGGGATAGATGGGGGCACTATAAGTGTATGTAAGCGTAAGTGTACCTGTGTGGTACATAGAACATGCATAGAGGCTCCTCATCCCCAGATCATACTTGTGGTACAGGTCTATTTTGTGTCTGCTGTTGGTACATCTTATGGCTTTACTTGCCTTTTGGTGGCCGCAGCATCTCTAGGTGCTGGTCCAGCATCCACTCATGGGTCAGTCTGTCCTCCACTCGGAGCTCATGCGGCTGCTGCTGAGCAGTGCTCCCACCGTGCTGCACTGCTCCTGCATGGAAAGCTGCTGGAAAACCTTGACAGCTGAAGAGCAGAGCTAATGGAGCTTCCTTATCCTGTTCCAGAGCCACAAACCCCTTATTTAAAGAGACCTTGAAACAAATCGAAAGGAAACCAGAATGTGGAGGCCTGCCAATGATCTCATTTCTCATTCTCCCTATGCAGAGGGTAACCCGGCTTCCTCTGCTGTTAGATGTAAGTCAGTCACACGGTGGCACTGCTTGGCACCGCTGAAGAGGCGGCCGTGCTGCACCCTGCTTCAGTTTGCTGAGCACTGGGAGCAGCTCAGGCATCCCAGGGAAGCAGCCGATGTGCAGGCCCTGTCTTGCACTGTCACTGAAGCATCTTACCTTGACATTCTAGACTGTCTGTCAGAAAACAAAGGCGTGCACTGCAGCCTATGGAGCTGCCACCAGAGCCCTGAAAGCCATCAGCAAGGTGAGGCCCAGCTGCCACCTCTCCACCTTTTCTCCTCCCTGCGCACCGTTCCGTCACTGGGCATGACCCTGCCATGCTGGACTCGGTGTTCCTCCCTGCATCGGTTCACTTCAGATGTCTCTTCTCTGATAGCTGCTGGCTGTTCACATCTTCTCCCTTGCTCACCTTTTTCACCTGATCTTGGTTTTTTCCTTCTTCTTCTCGTCATCTCTCCTCTTTGGTTCATCCTTTGTCCTCGCTGGACCGCCGTGGTCGGGCTGGCAGAGGGGCCAGGGCACTCTGTAGCCACCCTGTGGATGTGTGAACAGTGGTGATGCTGCACTTGCCTGTGGAAGGCTTCTGTCCTGCCTTCCATCTGTCTGATTGTTCATCCTCCTCTCTCAACCCCCTCTCTTCGATGATCACTTCCTCCTCTTCATGCTGCTGCTTGGTGAAGCTCAGTTTGCTGTGGTTTTGCTTTGGTTCTTCTCCAGGCTGTGTGAATGTGTCGCCTCTCTCCTAGAGATCTCATGGCAGGAGAGCCTCCAGCTGCCTTTCCCCAGGCCTGGCTTGAACCCTGTGTCTGGGCTTGGCTCTTTCTCCTGCCTGCGCCAGGGCAGCACCAGCCCAGCAGTGCTGCTGGGAAGGATGACCCTTGTGGTGCTGTTGTTTCCAGCTGGTTAAGAACTGCAATGAAGGCGCCCGTGCTATGGAGAGGACGGAGCAGATGTACACCCTGCAGAAACAGCTAGAATTTGGGAAGAGGAAGGTAAGGGGAAACCTGGGCTGTGCTGTTGGAGGGGCCCGTCCCAGGCGTGTGGGGCCGGTGCTGGGAATGCTGCCAGGCAGGCTTGCCCGTGTGCCAGGCAGGCAGGCAGCCTTTCCCTGGATCCCTTTCAGCCATTCCCACTGATTTCCGCGTCCCGCTGGCTGCTGAAGCGGGGGGAGCTCTACCTGCTGCTCTCAGAAGAGGCCGGCATCTTCCGCCGGGGCGCCGGCAAGCTCTGCTACCTCTTCTCGTTCAATGATGTCCTCATCATAACCAAGAAGAAGAGGTGAGAGTCCAGGGTGGTTCCTTTCCCTGGGAAGGGATTAAAATCTCCATTCCCCAAGCAGCACACAGGGAATCTCAAGGGTGTCTTGGGCTTTCAGTTGAGAGTGGGAGGGGAAGCAGCCAGGTCCGCTGCTCTTGGCCTTGCTTACGTTCATGGGTGGCTCGCAAGCCTGCAGAGCCACGTCCCCCCTCGAGCATCAGCTCCTGTCCTGGCTGTGACAGTCACCTCAGTGATGCTCAACTTCACCCACGGGGCTCTGAGCAGGGGAGGGAGCTCGGTCCGCACCAGCAGCATCCCCATGGCTGAGGTACCGCTCCCATCCTTGCCGCAGCGAGGAGAGCTACTCTGTCCTGAACTACGCCACGCTGGACCAGGTCACGGTGGAGAAGATGGAGAACACGGATCCACCTTCCCCTCCTCCCGGCAAGCCCGGGAGCGGCGGCACAGCCCGCGGCACGGCCGGGGGGTTCCTGCTCCGGGTGGTGATGGAGAAGGACAGCGAGGGCCGGCGGGAGGAGATCGTGCTGTCGGCAGAGACGCTGTGAGTGGGATGTCACGGGGCGCCCGCTGGTGCCTGTGGGATAAACTGGTTCCTTGGAAATCCCCCTGAGGTTCTGCACCTTTTCCTGCTTGCGTGAAAGGGGGACCTGTGTGGGTTTCTCCCTGGTTCTGCTTCTGTCTCTTAGATTTCCCTTATAATTCCCATATAATGCTTCCTGTGTCCAAATCAAGCAGTGTGTGCTGCTTCCAAAATACCTGAACACTGAATGCTCTGATCAAATGCTTGTCCAGTCAGACTGCCCTTGAAAGCCTCTATCCTGCTGGGAATTTCCAACTGCTGCTGGCAGCATGGATGCTGTCTCTTTGTGATATGGATTTCCCCTCTGCCAGGAGTGACCGTGCCCGGTGGATCGCTGCGCTGATGTACAGGGAAAAGGAGAAGCCGGACACAACTCCTAAAGGAGGTACTGATTGTGCCAGGGCCTGGGCATTCGCAGGCACAGGGTTTCTCCCCTGCTCTTACCTGCTCCTGCTGGAGAAGGAGCTGAGGATGTGTGTTGATGGGAAGGAGAACTTGGATCCCAAGCCTTGCGCCTTAGGAATTGCCTCCCATGAAGTTATCAGTCACAATAAACCTTAAATACATTCCCTCTGAGGCACAATGAAATTCCAGGGATGCCTCAGGCTGCTGGGATTTGCTTCCCCTCCCTATGTACTTGGAGGGGCAGGGACCAGAAGGGAATGGAGCTGTGGAGCCTGAAGGGGTGGGCACCCAGGCTGGGCTGGAGCGGGGGTGTGGGGCTGTGGGTCCTGGCCAATGGAGCTGTGGAGCCTGAAGGGGTGGGCACCCAGGCTGGGCTGGAGCAGGGGTGTGGGGCTGTGGGTCCTGGCCTCATCTTCTCCCTGGGTCCCTGCGGCCCCTGTGCTCTGCAGATCTGAGCCAAGTGGAGATAACGCAGCCCTACCTGGCTAAGCAGGCGGACGAGATCTCCCTGCAGCAGGCGGACGTCGTCCTGGTGCTGGGGGGAGAGGACGGTGAGTGCCAGCGGGCAGGGGGCTGCGGCTGGGGAGGGTTTCCTTCAGTGGAGCTGTGGGTGATGATCCTTCAGTGATCCCAGTGGAGCGGAGCGGGGTCATAGCCGTTAGCAGAAGCCTCCAGGAGCCTGGGGCTGTTGGTGAGGTCTGTGTTGCTGGCTGCTGCCTTGTCCCAGTGGATGATGATGGGTCCCTGGAGGCTGACGGGGGTGGCACTGCTACAGGTGGGTACTGCATTGGCAGTGACTCCTGTGCACAGGCTGTGGCTGGCAGCCAGCAGCAGAGACCTCAGAAGCGAGAAACAAGCCGCAGAGCAGCAGTAAATCAGGAACTCTTGTGCAAAGCTTTCCCTGGATGCCCCCAGCACCCCCGGGAGCCACAGCCGTTCCTCGCTGTGTGACCAGCTCTGCTCCAGCCCCCCCAGCACCCCCAGGAGCCACAGCCGTTCCTCGCTGTGTGACTGGCTCTGCTCCAGCACCCCCAGCACCCCCGGGAGCCACAGCCGTTCCTCACTCTGTGACCGGCTCTGCTCCAGCACCCCCTAGCCCCCCAGGAGCCACAGCCGTTCCTCACTCTGTGACCGGCTCTGCTCCAGCCCCCCTAGGAGCCCCAGCCGTTCCTCACTCTGTGACCGGCTCTGCTCCCCTCCTAGGCTGGTGCTGGGGGGAGCGGCTCCGGGATGGGGAGAGGGGCTGGTTCCCGCAGGCCTGCGCCCGGCGGATCACCAGCCGCACGGCCGTGGAGTGCAACGTGCGCCGGATGGAGCGGCTGCGCCTCGAGACAGACGTGTAGCTGCCAGCCCGGCAAAGGTGCCGCAGCGGGACTCGATTCAGGGCTCTTCAAGGCCCTGTGGACTGAGCCCGGGGCGAAGGGAGCGGGGGAGCCTTCCTTCTTGGGCTCATTTGTCTTGAGCAGCCACCAGCAGCAATTCTGGTTGCTCAGGAGCGCTCTGGGTAGCGGCTGTGACAGCAGCGGATGAATGTGAGACCTGGCAGCCGGGCACTGCTGCCCAGCACTGATATTAATGACCTGGAGCAGGCCTCAGGGGGCAGCCCAGGGCTTGGCTGGAGTTGAAAAGGCTGCGGCTGTGCTCGGGGCGCTGTGAAGGAGCTCGCGCTGCCCTCTCCATCCCTGCTGACGCCTGGGCCGGTGCCCGCTGGCAGTGGCTGTGCACCTCGCATGGGACGAGCTGGGGCCGAGGGAGCGCACCTGAACCCAGAAGCTTCAGGTCCTTAAATCCACACCCTCAGCTAGTCCTTGACCTGGGCTTTTCTTTCTCATGATTCCCTATTTTCTTCCTTCCCCCCCATTTCCTTCGCAGTTATTCTTGGCTCTGACCCTGCGGGGTGAGCAGTGCCACCCCCTCTCAGCCACTCACTGAACGAGCAGGCAGCAGAGGCTGGTGCAGTCAAGAGTTGTTCTCAGGGAGCCAGCTCTGGCCAGAAATAGGATGCTCCGGGCACTGGGAAGCAATTTGCAAGCCCTGCTGTACGAGTGAGCCGGGAGCACAAGGGAGCGATGCCATAGATCCCAGCTGAACCCGGGGGACTCAGTCCTGCAGGAGCGGGACGTGGTCACAGAGGGTTGAACCTCAGCCTTGCCAAGGCAGAGCAGTCCCCTCTGCTCCCCTTCTCCCCCAGAATTAGCCCTGACACGTGGTTAATGAAGTGGGCTGAGGCAGGGGGGTCTCTTGTCCCAGCTGGGCGGTTTGGGTTTTCCATGGATGTTTAACCCTGTAGGGCCTTTGGGGTGGGAAACAGTGGCTGCAGTTTTGGAGTAAGGCAGCACTGGGCACTGCCTAGGTTTGGATTCAGAGGGACAGCGTTGCTGTAACGGGTCTGTTTTCATTAAACTGTTAAAGGATCCCAGTGAGATGCTTGTTTTCCTTGTCCAAAAGGGACCTGTGTGCAATGGCAGCAGCATCCATGGGTCCCTGTGTTTGACCTGTTAGAGGTGATGAAGATGACAGCTCCGTGTCACATCAACACCAAGGAGCCAGGTTTCCTCACTGTCAGCTCTAACAGGAAAGCATCTTTCTGCAGGCAGCATCCTTCCAGCCTCTGGTTGTTCCCCACATGCACACATCTCAGGAACCATCCTTCAGAATCGCTGCCTAAAACCTGCTGTCTCAGGTGTAATTGACTGAGAGAGACAAGGTCAGTTAAGGTTAAGTGAGGCTTTCTGTTTATTTCTCTTAACTGTGGAAGAACTCAGGTTTTTCATCAGTTGTAAATAGAAGAGGTGGGATCCAACAGTGCGACACTGGCTACATGGAAAGAGATACGGCAAACAAACTGTATTAAGAAATATGAACAGGAGAACAAATCATGATAGAAAAATACAGGTACAGAGTTCCTCAGATGGATGATTTGCTCCCAGCCACAGCTGCAGCTCAGGCCCTTGTGCTGGGACAGGACAGGACAGGACAGGACAGGACGGCTCCATCCCCATGGTTAAGGCAGGGATGTGTCCGTGCTCTCCTGGAGCAGCTCCGTGGAGGCAGAGCCCTCCCTGCCCCTGCAGGTGCCCGCTGGGACGCGGTGCCCTCAGTTGCCATCAGCCAGCTCCGTGCTGGCCCTGCAGAGCCCGGCTCGGGTGCTGGGCGCAGGCGCCCGGTGCGGGGCTGGCGCTCGCTGCTGCCCAGGGAGCACACAGAAACCTCGGTGCTCTGCCCCCCCCGGCCGCCCCCAGGCAGAGGTCACCAAAGGTGGGATTGTCTGGAGCAGGGGGCAGGGGCGTTTGGACACGGACAGACTCTGCCTCCCCCCTGGTTACCGACCATTCACCATCCACCCTTAATGACACCGGTTTGGTCCTTCACGACGCCCTCGTATTAACATCATTTCTTCACAACAGTGACGTCGAACGCAAAAAATACTGTTAAGGAGGAAATAAAATGAGACCAGAATCCGCCCACCCTGACCAGTTCTGTACAGATTGAAATCAATCCCATGGGAAAAGAAACAATTCTTTCCTTAGTTTCAGTTGGCCCCTGTGGCAATAACTTGAAGGCCGAGTGCCCGGGCAGGGCTGGGCTGCAGCAGCGGCGGCAGAGGCAGAGGTGCTGGCTGGGGAGAGCCCGTCCCCTCGCAGAGCTGGTGTCTGCTGCCATGGGCAGCTCTCGGGCTCTGCTCCCCAGAGCTTTGTGCAAATCCAGGAGGCAGCTGGGGCCGCGCTGGGCTCTCGTGTTCCTGCTTGCTGCAGGTGGCAGCCGAGGCTTTGCTGTGGCTCCATGCTCCCCACCGAGCCACGATCCAGCTGCTGTTCCCACCTCCATCCCCTTCCCAGTGCTGGGAACACCAAAATAACACAGGTCCTGGGGTGGGGTGAGAGCATTCAAGTAGGGTTCTGCATTTACTGGGCCAGGCAAGAGGTTTGTGTCTATCCACAGCATGTCTTGGATTATCACACTTAATTTAGGCTTCTTTTTCACTGGAGCGAACATCATAGGGTGGCCCACTCCTGGTATGAAAAACAGGCTCCTGACCCCCTGAAAGCTCAGCAAGAGCAGGCTGCATCACGGTGAGGATGGCACTGCCTGCTGCTGGACCAGTGGTGCGGATCATGCTGCAGGCACCAGCTCCACAGAGCTATGGGTAGGGGCCAGAGCCAACACCTCCAATAACTCGCAGCAAGAGACCATTGCAAATTCAGACTTAAAGATCCGGGGGAGGTGGCACTTCTGCAGGAGGCACGATCCAGGAGAGCCAGGAGCTTCAGCCTTCAGTCCTGCCACCAGCAGTGCACAGTTTCCCGTACGTACGGTGGCATCAATACCTGGTTTGGGCCGTAATTCCAGCCCCCTCCCCAAGCCCAGTGCCCAAAAGAGAAGGGCAGCAGTTTGCCAGAAGCTATCAAAGTCTGCTCAGGAGAAGCCATGGCTTCTGAGCTGTTCCTGCTGGAGCCTGGCCGGTGTCGGTGTGCGTGACGGGGAGCCCAGCACAGGCCGTGGTGGTGGAACTGGTGACACTCACTGCTCCAACCTGGCTCAGACAACTCCAGAAGCAGCAGCCTGGGCTGTCAGGACGTGGCTTGTAACCAAGTTCATTCAATAGGTCACTGACTCTTCAGGTGGCCGCTTGGCCACAGCGCGGGAGGTGGCTGCAGGCACTAGTGCTCTCCTGGCCAGAGCCCACCCTGGGATGGAGAGGAGCCGGGGGGCTCCACTGCTGTAAGGCAAACTGGGATGGGTCAGTCACTGCTGGTTGTCTGCATCTCAGAGCGGGGATGCTCAAGGCTGACCCTCAGCACACTGCATGCAGCCAGGCTCTGCTGCTGCACCTCGGAGCAGTGGGTTTAGGTTGCTGCCTGCACCCCAGGGTGCAAGAGGCCACCTGTTGGTTGGCTACTGACCTGGGACTGAGGAGGGGTGCTCGGCCGATGGCAGACGGGGGGTACCACCTGCAAAGGAAGGCGTATATCCATCCAGCATCCCAGCACCCGCAGGGGACTCGCTCCAAACCAGCGGGGTCAGTCATGGGTTGGGCAGGGCATTGGGAAGTGCTACACTGTGTGGCTGGTTTTAGTTGAGCTAAAACTGCTCCCACAGCCAACCCACCAGGCCATGAGCTGCAGCCCAAGCACAGGTCCCACCGCATCCCTCCTCCTCTGCAGCAGGCTCTGCATTCAGGTCCCCCCACGTTCAGTGGTACTCACTGTGGTGCTGCACCCATACGTTACCTTCCCGACAGGTGGGTCCCGTGTAGCCGTGCAGACAGAGGCACTGGCCGTTGCGAGCGTTGCAGTAGGAGCTGCTGGGCGCACACTGGCAGGGCAGGCTGCAGCCGGGGCCATACTCGGTCGGTCGGCAGTCTGGGGAGGAACAGGGAGGTGCTGGGCTCTGGGGCTCAGCCTGATGCTGCTGCTGGGCACAGGCACCTCCTGCTGTGGGGGAGCCTGGGTGCAAGGGAAGGCAGAGATTTTGCCTTTCCCCCCCTCCTGCTCTTGAGCTCTGGTGGTACAGGACACCCCCAGGCTAACAAGGTGCTCCTCCTACACTTGATCCTCAGCCTTTTGACTCTGGTGAGCTAAATACAGGACACTGGAGGCTGAGGGAGCATTTGTATTCAGATCTGACTACAGATAGAGGCTGGCAAGGTGGCCACTGTTGAGATGCCCTCTCACTACTTTGGGAGGCACACACACAAAATGAAAGCCCCCTTCCATGAGGATTTAGCTCCAACAGGAGGGGTTTGCATCCACTTTAGGACTGGGTCCCCTTTTCCACCTTCCCAAGCACTGCTTCAACTCACCTGAGCCACACTTGAGGCCAGTTTTCCCTGGGGGGCACAGGCAGTGCCCCGTGGCCGGGTCGCAGGACGCGTTGCCGATGCAGTCGCAGAGCTGCTGGCATCCCTCTCCGTACGTTCCCTCCTTGCAGCCTGTTTGGGAGGTGAGATACAGCACATGGAGCACGAGATCCCACCTCGGGGTCCTGCCTGCTCCCGGGAGGAGGACGGGTACCTGTCTGGCAGCGCTCCCCATGGAGCCCAGCGGGACACCGGCAGCGACCGGTGGTGGGGTCACAGCCTGCTCCATGCTCACAGTCACAGTGCTCCTGGCAGCCCACTCCATGGAAACCCGGGGGACAACCTGGGATGGAGCCGGATGGAGAGCTCGTTAAAGCATGGCTGGGGTGAGTCCAGGCTCAGCTGTACTTAACTCTGCAGCAAAGCCTCCATCAGCCCACCAGAGAGAAGCAGTGAGCCTTTCTCTTCGAGCAGAGCCCAGATGTGTGCAGCTCTCTCAGCTACTCAAAGCTAAGCTGTGCGGTGGTGATGTACATGCTCAGCTGCCTTGGAAAGGCACCTCCGTACAGTGAATAGAATAGAGATAGAAATTGCCTTGTCTGTGACTATTCTGCTACCTGGGTGTGACTCCCTGTGAACACTGGTAAGAGAGGAAGAGCCCAGCACTGCACACAGCCACGTGTGTGACTGCAGCGGGTGACAGCTTGGTCCTACGGTCCTGCTCTCTGAAAGAGCCCTAGAAAACAGCACCCCTTGCAAAGGCAGAGGTGTTTCTGCTGCCACAACTCACTGTGCTCGCAGAGGGGCCCGTAGTGCCCTGCGGGGCAGCGGCAGGCTCCGGTCCCCGGGTCGCAGGAGGCGTTGTGCAGGCAGGCACAGCGGAGCTGGCAGTTGGCACCGTACGATCCTGGTGGGCATTCTGCAGGGAAGATGCAGTGAGGCATCCCTGATGCCTTCTGTGCTTCAGAGGGGTGTGATGGGGTAAGGCAGAACAGGTGGGGACAACAGGAACTGGACCCAGTGTGGAGCAGAGTGAGTGGGCTATTACTGGCCCCATGCATTGAAGTCAGGGTTACCTGACTCGCAGGACTCCCCGGTCCACCCGGGCGCACATGAGCAGGAGCCATCAGCTGCATGGCACAGGCCCCCGTTGAGGCAGGAGCAGGTCTGCTGGCAGCCCACCCCGAAGCGGTGCTTCTCACAGCCTGGGGACCAGAGGCACACAGAGCACTGCAGACAGGAGCACCCCAGCACAAGCAGAGCTCTCCAGGTAAGGAAATCGGCTCCCTCCCAGGGCCTGCGTGTACTGGTGACATTTACCTTGCTCACAGGTGGGACCAGCTCTTCCCGGTGGGCAAACGCAGTCTCCGGTGATGGGGTGACAGGTAGCACCTTCCCCGCAGGAGCACACCCCTGCACAGTCCTTGCCGTAGCGACCAGCGGGACATCCTGGAGGG